CTTACGAGGTTATCCCAATCAGTAAGTATCTCTGTTAAGTTAAACAAAGTTATTTTAAAAGAAGGACTAACATGTCTCACAAAGAAAAAGTTTAAAGACTATTTGATGGCTTTTTTTTAAAAGACTAAATTGAGTTTCACAACTTTTTTTAGGGACAAATTTAGATGTTTACTCTTTCATTTATCTCAAACTATTTGTTATTTTAAAATATCAAAACCAATTGGTACTTTTTTTTTAAAATACTTCTCTCAGCTGTTATAACTAAAATAATTTCAAGATTAATCATCACCTAATTATTGATAAATTATTTTTTATTAAATAATTAATAAAACTAATATTAAGTGACAAGTGAGAGAGAGAAAAAAGAACTTATATGGAATTAATTCTAAGTGGCAAACTGACTGAATAAGTGAGACATGAATGGATACACATTGAGACAGAGACCACACTCCCTCCCAACATATTTATGATTTTTCTTTCTCTCTCAGAATCAGAATAATGAATCTTTTTCCTTAAGATCTCTCGCCACGTTTCCACTTGTAATTGAAGCTTCCAGTGACCCACCTTTCTTTTCTCTTGGAAAAGAGAAGAAAGACTAAATATTGTAATTGATGGCGAGACAAAATATAAAGTAAAGACAACTAGCTTCAAAGAATGCAAAATTTTTCAGTCTTTATCAAATTATAAATATTGGTTTGAGTTTAACGTATCTGATGTTCAAGGCTAGTATCATATCTATATATAGTTTCCTAAAGAGTTTTTTTCTTTAATAGCAATCTTTATTTATTTCAAAATCAATTCTGAGTCCATACACCAATTATACATGCAAGACTAATAAAAAGAAAGACTGAAACCTAGGCACCAGAAAATAAAAACACGTGCTATGTGGATAAATATAAATGAGCAGAAGGAAAATAAATAAATAAAAGGGAAAGCAGTAAAAAAAACTAAACTTTACTTATTTGAATGAACAGAAAAGAATTCACAAAATAAATCATTTTTTCCTCACAAAATGAATTTTAAAACTAAAACTTTGTTTTCTTATATTTTTTCATTACCAGTTAATAATGTTGACAAAAACATAGAACCGTGAATAATGATTAAGGCACGGTCATAGTAGTTGTACCATGCTACCCATGATACAGGACGTGGTAACATTTTTACTAGGATTTTCATTTGGTGGCAGTGGCAGTGGCACTGTGGGGAGGCTCATACTGTGGTACAGTGCTGAATGATTGAGGATTACAGTCTAAAAATCACTGCCCATAGCTATTCTATTCGAACCCAAACTCAAAAGATCAAAAGGGTAGGAAAAAAATTAGCAAACTAAATAAATTGGAGTTAGATTACTATATTGCTACCCTGCAAAAGTTATGTAACTTTTATTTTCACATAAGATGTTTTAAGTACGAGTTAAAAAAGAAGTCTTTTAATCTCAACTTGATATATATTTTTTTGCATGGGAAAGAAAGAAAAGAAAATGATGGTGTTGTTCGTTAATGTGGAAAAATGAAACAGGATAGGAATGAAGAGGTACAAATGGCGGTCCTAAGGAACAGATGAAGGTGGGGAATCTGAGACCCCTTAACGTTACAAACTATGATTGGCTGTGAAGGGGATGAGGAAGCACCCATGAGTCAGGACAAATCTTTTTTTCATATCACCTCAATCCATATGCACTTTCCTGGCCCCATTGCCATCATCTTCCCACTTCTACTACTATCCCTTCACCACTTCTTCTTTTTTACCATATTAGTCTTCAACTTAACACTAGTTTTACAATTAATATTATTAATTTTCTCAATGTTAATTAACACTGGTTTACAGAAAATTTTAAATAATTAAGAGTTTAAGATTCAGAGATTTCTATAATAGTTTCATTCTTTTGTCTATGACCAAGAGATAGAAACATAATTAAAAATAACAGTTAATGTTAACTTAGATTTAACAAAAGAGATCATTTTTTTTAATAAAAGTAAACAAATAAAAAAATTATAATAATTCTTTTAAATCTAACTAGAGTTGTTACTTTCAGTTTTTCAACTTGGCTAGCTAGGTATGTTCAACTAACAAAATTATAAAGTTATTTGAACTTTTATATCAATAAATAAATTATGTAAGTAGGCCAAACTTGAGCAGACCAGCCAGTATTAAATCTGTTATTAATATGAGATAAAAGGTTCAAATTTATTTGAATCATAACTTTGTTAATCTAAATCTTAAATTTTGATGAATATATTTAAAATAGTTAAAGTAAACTGATTCATTTTACTGACTTTATATTTAATTAATAATCTAAAGTGAGGAATAAAACTTCCCCTCATAAACTTAAGAAATGGACAAATGTTTGTTGAAATTTTCTAATCGCTTCTTTGTTTTTTTAATATTTATACAAATATAAAAAAGTTATATGTAACATTAATTTCAATTAATTAAATAACAGAACTGAAAATAAAATAAACAGGAGTTTTCTTCTTCTTCTTCTTTTTTTTTGGTTCAATATAGGAGTTATATATTCATGTTCTATTTTTTTAATTTTTTTGGCTTCATTTCGATGGGCCCTTTATGGTATTAGACAGGGCACCCTCAAAATGTTGGGCAACACTAAATTTATTCTGACATTTTGGAATCAAATTTAGACATTAAAAGAAGCATGGCCTATAGTCGGATATATATGCACCCTTAGAACAGGGAGCTGTGGCTGAAACATCAAATACTAAGAAAGTTGATAACTTTCCAGTCTTGTTTTTCTTTAATCTGTCTTGTTTGTAGTTTTTAATTATTGTCTATTAGTTTCATCTTGTTTTTAGTATTTTGCTTTTAGTTCCTAATATTTTTTTTAGTCTCTTATTATTTTTTATAATATATAATAATACATGGGGAATAAAAACTGAAAAAAAAATAGAGACTAAAAAATAGACAAACTAAAACCGAGAGGCAGGAATAAAAAAAGGACTAAAATAATTAAAGGCAAGAAATTTTTAAAAAAAAAACGAAGACAGAATTTATTTAAATTTTCTATACATTTTTTAAACATATCATTGTTATTAATTAAAATTTACTAAGAATTTTTAAAGGGAAGTGAGAATTATATATTTTCATACAGCTTGATAAATTTCAAGCAATAATAAAAAAAATGTAATTAGAATATATTTATATTGTAGAAGCTTTTACATTGTCATTTAATTATATAATGTCCATCATTAAAAATTTGACTTTTGTCATAGTTATTTTAAGATTGAGATTCTATCTACAGTCAAATTAAAGTTAATTATATTTTATAAATTACATGAATTTAAATAGATGGAATTTTACTCTCTTTTTTTACGTTATATATTTTGTTACTTTTGTACCATTTTTTTACAAGCATCCCTAGTTGAAAATAATTGAGTCCAACATCATTTGGGCTGTGCATACGGACATAGCGATATCTCTTCACAGCTGCCCCCAATAATATGAAATTTTTTGCAACAGATCATTTAGAGAACATAATAATAATAATAATAATAATAATAATAATAATAATAATAATAATAATATCAACAACAACAGAAAATATTTTGGAAAAGCAGAATGAAAATGATTTAAAAAACGAAACATATCAAAATATTAAAAAGAAAGGCATTTGATAAAAATAAATCGTTTGTCAACGACTGAACAGGCACGTTAGTTTTAGGCTTTTACCAATAAATTACCATAAATATTTTTTATTTATTGGGTAAAAGCATGCTTAGATTTAAGTTGATAAACTATGAATCGTGCTATAAGTGAAGGTTTACGAAAAAACAAAAACAAAAACGTTAAACAATGGTTTGGGGCTTTTTATGAAAATCCACACACACTAATTTTTACTCAAACATGATTATTATATGCATTCAAAATATTTTTAGCTATGTTTAAAAAATAATTGTAAAAAAATAGTGCATTACATATGATTGTCTTAACTCTTGACAACCTTACACAAGAAAAATATTCGTGTAATTTATGAAGACTTTTAAATTTTGATAAAATTGTTGTAAAATCAAAATATATTTGAGATTATAAACAAGATATGCACAACTACTTAAAATACTTTGAATTTCAAACAATTAAAATGTTAATAATAATACAAGCATTCTTTTTTTAAAAAAAAAGATTCAATCACTTTTAAGAGAATGAATTCTACGTATGTGTTTGTGTGTGTGTGTTTAAATGCCATGAATTCATTTTATAACAGATTAATGAAAAAAAAGAGTGTCACTTCGTTAATAAATAAATATAAACTCTTCCCTTATCGTCTCCACCATAGATGGCATGGGTATGCACATCAATCTCCACTTAATTGGAGAAAAAGGTTCAACTTTATCAATTAGGCAATATATGAACTCTTCATTAATTTACAAGGGATGAAGGATGAAGTGGCGACAAAAATTAAGAACATGGAAAGCTATAACTGGTGTCGTTTCCTTCGTTAGTATCATTCAGAGTCTTGTTTGTTTCGATAATATCTATGTTTTCTTCTCTCATTTTCTCTTTGTTTGGGTACTATGTATGAATAGTGTTATGTCCGATAGTCTTTAATTTTTTTGGCTCAATATATATATTACCTCTGATGATTAACAAATCATGCACTATGCCATGTTACGTCGTAGTTTTCAAGTATTATTTCACCAAAAGTGAGCATTACATGTTCTATGGCTTCAAATTCGACAGCACACAAAAATAATGATTTCCAAACCAACAAGCTGTTGCTACTGCCATGGAGGCCCACTTGATTCTCGATTGGTTCAGTTAACTACTGGGTAATTTTGAGCCATGTTCCCACTTTTATACTAAATTATTAGGGTCCCCCAATATCTACATAATTTGCCCAAAGAAATCGGAGACAATGACCACAATTGATTTTGAATCATTTAAAGTGATTGAGATGTGTTTTTAAATTAACTCACGTGTTTTCATTAGAGTGCTTATTTTCCATTTAAAAGTGTAAATTTTTTCATTTAAATTAATTTACCGAGAATGATGTGGTCTATACATAAACTCGACAACTTTTGGCAGAAATCCAAATCAAATACATCATAATTAACTACTGCAAGCACCACTTGGGAATTCTGGGCTATGGCTATCTCAAACAGGATTTTGATCAAAAGGGGTGTTAGGGTATTAGACATTCTTTAATTCTAATGTATTGATTAGCTGCCAAATCATGAATCTATGAATCAAAGTAGCATGGTTACTATTGTGGTCGGGCTCAGCCTTGAATCAAACCATGATTCTGATTTCCTACATCCAAACCAAAACCTTAAAAAGATGGAGCTATTTTTTGCCAAATCTTAAGCATTTGTTATGTCTGGATTCAGTAATACTAGGATTTTGAGTGAGTTGTTTGTTTGTCTGTTTTGTGATTGAGAGTTTCTCCATTGCATTAATGAACTTGCGCAAGTACTTGATGTATTCCGGGAATGTTTCAAGGTTGCAATGCCCCCCACCCTTAACCCACAAGGGATCATATTTTTCCTTGGAGAGTTCCCATAATCGCTTTCCATGAGACCAATCAACAATATCATCATTTGTTCCCTGGACATAATCCATTAGCATACAAACAAAATTAATAAATTATTATAAGCACCGGGAATTAAATTAAAAAAGGTTACACAATACAAGGGAGACAAATGTCCATGTCCGCTAAGCAACAAATGGAGAACTGAATTTTTGAACGATGACACTAGTCAACACTAAACAACATAGAAGTTGAAGAAAATCATCACTGAGTTCCTAACAATATCTAATTTTCTTCCTCAAATTTGGCTCCTTTTACACGATGACTACTATGCTATACGCTGCTTGGCCAGTTGGTCTTGACTAATGAATGAGGCAACAAGTTAAGAAAAACCAAAATGAATGCAAGCATGTAATGATATTCTGAAATCTCCACAATGGTTATGTTGTTGGCTTCAAGATATGGATATAAAAAAAATTATTTACTGTTCCTTCCAATGTACCATGATTTCTTTTGCAATAAAGATATATCAATTTTAGCTGTTCACAATGTAGCTGTTTCATTAAACGCGTGGAAAAAGGTATCTATTACTGAACATTAGACAATCAACAAGGTTTGCATGCCAAAACACAAACACACAAGCACCAAAAATGTTGTTAAGTACTTATTATTAACAATAGAAATGGGAGATGCAAAAGCAGAGAAATTTCAAAGATTTGCTAAACATTCTCATTAGGACAACAGGTGCAAGCTACTTCTAGGTTCTATATCAGTGGGGCACAACCAGCATAAAGACAAACTAAGGAAATAAAACAGCTTAAAAACATAATAGGAGAAGTATTTGGAAATGGCACATTTCATATACCTATGCTTACATGGATACAAAGTTGCAATACAACAGAAGATACAATACGTATTAACATTCCTCAGTATTCTTATCCTATGACATAATCTGAATATCAAGTTATAAATTTTCCACTGAGCATACGTTGCCATACCGAACACCATTTACATATTTATATCAGAATTTAAACTGCAGACTGCTCGTTACTTCAACTAAAGTGTGAGAAAAAAAAGTAATACCAAGTGTTTATGGTTTCAGTTTTTACTCCAGAACCTAAAGTCTATTTTTGCACCTAGCATCAATAATTCATCTGGCTTAAGAAGGTGAGCAGGCTGAGACAAAAGTTCATCATTTTGCTAACTAAATTTGAAGAATGAAGACTTTCTTCAAAAAGGCAGAAAGTATAATGCAACAACATCAATACATGTCAATAGTCAAGAATATTCGATACTTGTTGATAAAAGGAAAATGATCCCTTGGATGCAAACACCACCAGGCTTCCTAAACATGCTGGATTTTTTGTTCATATTGCATCTTCTAGTGGGAGAAAATTAGAAAATAAAAGTCTAACTAAATCAGCTTCCTGAAATAACCTAATATTAGGTGAAGATTCAAGACATCAGAATCTCTTAAGTACTTTTGACACTTTGCATTGTGTGACATTTGCAATCAAACATTGAGATAATTGAACACTTGCAATCTTTTTTTTTTTTTTTTAAATGAATCAATTTAAATAATCTGCACAATTATGTTTTTAATCCAGAACTCACCCAAGCCTCCATATGAACAACTCATCACCAGGCAATCAAAATAAGAACTCATATGACAATCACTTCGGGACAGAAGTTCAAGAAAGAAGCTGTTTATCAAGTTTAACCACAACAAGAAACAGAACTGCAGAAGCTGATTATAAACAAAGGGAAATATACACTTACATGTATAACGAACACTGGACAGTTGACATGCCGAATTTTGTCTATATTCTGAAATGATAAAAGAGATTTTTGTTACTACAAAACTCTGCTAAAATCTTTAGCGGACAAAAAATCATGAAGAACACAGGCAAAACTTACTTTAAATATGTCAAACCAAAATGTCATCTTGACAGGGTACAAGACCCTTATCCCAGAAAGGATTGCACTGTGAAGAACAACCCCTCTCAACTTCTGCAACTTCGAAGCCAAGTGTAGTGTGGGTCCACTTCCAACCGATTGACCATACAAAATCAAATCTTCTTGCTTGACTCCATATTCACTCTTCAAACAATTATATACAGCCTCTATGTCGTAATAAGTGTTGAACTCAGATGGCTATCACAGTTGAAGAGATACATCAGTTAAAATTAGATATGCTGACATATTTGGAGAAAAACAGAATTCAGATGGAATTTTGATTTCCTTGCTTCATCATGAATGAATAACTTTATTTGGAAACAGCGAGAAGAATAAAGGGGGTAAAAGAAATCAGGCTAGTTACTTACCTTACCTGTAGATGCTCCATACCCTGAATAGTCATAGCTGCAAATACAAAAAACAAAAAGGTACAAAGAAAGATTCAGAAAGGGGTTTTGCTCCCACTCTCAAAATCACTATAAGCTGACAAGGCTAGCAAAATAAAACATCATGACCGATGAAAAAATATTATTTTTTTAAAAAATGCTACGCATAAGTTTACACACAAAGTAAAAACACCAGCAAATAATCCAATAAGTTTTGTACGAGATCAGGACACGATTATCATTTTTTATTTCAATGAAATAGTAAAGATAAAAACCATGTCCAAGGCAACGCATGCAACATGGGAAAGAAGAGAGAGTTTAAAGGGAAAGAAGAACCTCATGATATTGACACGAAGGTGAGCTCTGAGCTCGATGAAGAGCTCGTGCATCTGACCCAAGTCAGCGGCATTTCCATGAGAGTACAAGAAGGTGAACCTGGGAAAAGGGTGTTTCCACAAGGTGGCAACGATCTTGTTGCCACCCTTTGTGTCAAGAATATGAACGTCGACGTTTTTGTCGGCGGCGACACCCGACAACACCACCCTCCCATCCTCCTCTCTGTAAACCTCGTACGTTGGTGGCTCTGGCGGGAAAAACGCGAATTTGGCAGCCACTGTTCCCGTCACATTCCCCATTTATCATTCACCAAATGCACGCGCTTTCTCCAGTGTTTTTTTATTCCAGCATCACCAAAACCACGACGCCGGAGAGAGAGGTGAAGAATTTCTGGGCCGTTGTTCTTATCCTGTTTCTAATTCCATGTAAAAAAGAAAAAAGAAAAAACGAAAAAAGAAAGTGATGGTTTTATTTAATTGATAATTAAATAATTTATATTTGGTTGGGGTTTTTTGAGAAAGAGAAAGAGGATGTTGCAAAGGAAAGTTGTTTACTTGGGACGATAGAAAGGTGTTGGGTGTTGGGTGTTGGGTGTTGGGTGTTGGGTGTTGGATGTTGGAAGTGGCTTCTGACGAAACCGAAGGAGGAAAGTGAAGAGTGGCAGAAAATGGATCCGACCTAAGCGGGTGAGCTGGAACTGCTGCTTCCCACCACCATTCATCTCTCCCTCCTCTTTCCCTTTCATCCTCATCAATTCCAATATCATCCCCCTAATTATTACATAATCCAATCATTTTTTTTAAAATTATAAATATTCTAATTCATCTTCTTATCAAAATTCAAAATTTTAATATACATGTTTCACAAAAGTTTTTGGTTTATTTATTCTATCTCCATTATTTTTATAGATCTTATTAGCAAGATATATATATATATATATATATATATATATATAATTGAATTAAATTAAATTAATAGATAGTTTAAGTCATATTTAATTTTATAGTAAAATTTTAAATATGTAAAAAATTTATACCAAAATAATTATTATATATATATATTATATTATTCGTGAGATTAATTTAGTAATAAAAAATAACTTAAAAATTCATTTTATTTTTAGATAATTTTTAAGATATACTTTTGGATTTTTAGTTTTAGATAATTTATATATTCTAAAATTTATTTGTTTGAAAAAAATAATTCTTAATTTTAATATAAGTGTTGTTTATAAAAAAAAATATAGGTTTTGCTAATTAATTTTTTAAAATAATAATTTATTAATAAAAATTGTTATAATATATTTAAAAAATGAGTAAGTATATTTTTTAATAAAATGTTTTATTTTAAATTTCCTAATTAATACTCTTTGAATACTAATTAATATTAAAAAATATCTGGTGAAGTGAGCTCTAATGAAATGTAAATTTTGATATGGAAGGAGTTAATAAAAGTACAATTATGGCCTCCGTTGGGGAGAGATGGGTGAAAAGTCAATATTGCCCTTGAGTTATGGGTCCATCTCATTTATGAACAATGCTTGGGTTGGGTATGGAATTGTAATACGACAATACAGAACAGGATCACATTTTCCTATGCAACTATCCGTTATTTCGTTTCATTTTCTTCCTAATCGGATCAAAACCACAAGGACTTGATTCATTATTTACCTTCATACAATTTTTTTTTACTTTTTTTTTTTCAAATAAAATCTTTTTGAAATTTTTTTATGATTTTTCTTCTATATATTATCAAATTTTTATAAAAAATTTTAATAATTTAATAATAGATTAATTTTTGTAGAATAGTTAATAAATAAATAAAATATTGGTATAAATATTATAAATTTATATTAATAATATAATATAGTATACCAACAAATAATTCGATTATTAAAAATATTCTATATTCTCAATATACCAAATTTAGTATAATTTTTTCAATTCTTTTTAAGTATCATAATTTTTTTTTAATTTAATCCTCATAAATAGCATAAAATTTCTAGTTGATCCGTCAAAAAAATAAGAAAAAAAAATGGTATATTTATTATAATTAAATGAAATAATAATAATAATAATAGAAGGAGTTATTTTGTGAAAAAATTGTATTTTATGAATACTTTTTTTTAGAAAAATTAAAAATAAAAAACGAAATCAAGTAATTTCAATTTGTTTTAGAGAAGAAAAAACTAATAAAGCCAAACAATAACTCATACTAAATTAATTGATAAAAAAATTAAATTAATTTAAATACGTTAATAGAATAATTTTTTTATGATCTCATTTAATTGAATTATTATATTACTAAAATTTATGGCTTCAAAGTATATATATATATACACGATATTTTATAACTAACACTACGTTTGATAAAAATTAATATACTTAACAATACTTTTAGTTTCAATAATTTAATGTGTATATAATTTTGATTTCTTTAATTTTAATTGCTTACATATATTTTATCAAATTTTTTAAATGTTTAAATTAAATTTTTTATATTATTATTTGATATGCTTAATCACACTTTTTTCGTATACATTAACGTATAATGATTTTGATGTTTTTAATTTTATTTGCTTATATTTAATTGTTTTCTTCTTTTAAATGATGAAACTAAATTCTTTACTTCAAATATTGTGAAATATAAAAGGTCGCATAACAATCCATGCGTACATTACAACTTAGTACCAGAAAACAACAAATTTGAACTTTTTAGACAGCTTACACAATGTTGACCAAAAACAGCTTACGCAGTAAATTCAATCAAAACATGTTATTTAAAAGGTTATAGACCAATTTGAGGTGAATTTTTTACATTTGATTTTAAGTTAGCATTTGATAATATATATATAAGGTAGTTCGTTAGTAGGATTTAATTTAAGGTCAAAACGTGAATGAGGTTATTTCAGTCATGGTACATTCTCTAATAAAAATATATTATTTTTTATTATTTACGCACATTATATTAGAACTAAGGCCTAAACGGTACACTTAAAAAAAAGTGATTTATTTATTTATTTCTGTTCACTTATTTTAACCCTAAAAACAAATGTCAGTGGTTAAGATGAAGACATAATAGAGGGTCCAGATTCGGTCAAAGGTAGCAGAGGATCTTCTAAGAAAGAGGGCAAAGTGTGGCAGAAAGATAGTTGACCATATTCTTCATTGGAACTCCTATGTTCATAATTACCAAGGTAACCCTATCATGGTAACTTAACATAAGATGTTAACAAACTTGATTTTACATAGAATAATTTCATTTTTTATGCATACATGTCTATAATTTGTTAAAATATTAAAGGAGAAATATTTTTAAAACTTTTTACATTTTTATCTCTCTAAACTTTTATAGTAACTAGTAAATTCTGAACTTATTTCTAGGGTTGATAATATTATTAATGTTGTCCCAGATATTAATACTACTATGCCGTCATCATCAAATTCATCAATATTACTCAATGAATTTGGTTTAATAAATAAAAAAATTTAAATTTAAAAGTTGATATTAAAAACTAATTTTAGTTATTAAATTTTTTTAAATTTAATACTACCATTTAAACTACCAACTATATAAGTAACATCTATATCCATAAAAGGCTGCTATGCCCAGTCCCAAACTAAAAAGTTTCACAAGTGATGGATCCGCATTCAATGGAACTTGATATTAATAAAGTGGAATGGAGTGAGCTAACCACTTGCAACCGGCAAGGAGAACACTAATTGGTTGTCAATTTCATTCTTATCCTCAGTACCATTATTTATACCAAAAAAAAAAAAAAAACTGTTTTACAAATTTGTTCACACTATTACATCCTCCACAAAATTAGTTTTTTTAATGATTTTATGTAATTTCACAATATATAATATCTTAAGAGAAATGAAACCAATAATGGGTGCAAGAAATAAGATATCAATCACAATCATGTCTTATTTGTTCTATAATGATATGTGAAGATAAAATGAAATAACTCAGACTTATACACCTTCCAATCATTATCTTTTCGAAAGTTCAAACTTCAGTCAATGGAGAGAACAGATTACTTATCAATACATAATCTAGACTTAGGTGGTAATTTTGGTTCATCTTTTATCAAGAAATAATACTTTTACCAAAATAAAACGTTGCTAGGGGTTAATTGTGACTTTAGCTCAGCTCTCAACAGCAAAAGTAAAAATTAATGGTAAAAAAACTATGCACGAAATTCTGAAATCTAATAGCAATTATCTGATTATGACGAGGCAAAACGAAGTACGACTTTAGTGGGCATTTTATGCTGCTAGCAAATTTTAACCTCCCTTTAATAAGATGGTAGGGTAAGTTAGAATTGGGTTATAGAAAATGAATGACTTGTCAAAAAAATGGAAGTGTTAGATAGACCAAAATGTCGGCTTTATGGTAGGAAAGCTAGATAGGTAGGTGACGAGAAACTTAATTGACCAATCTTTAAGAGGTAGGACCTCTTAGATAGAAAAGTAGGTATCTTGATAAATGAAGGAATAATGTTAATGCTCTCTCAAAATTGATGAGGAGAAATTGAGTCAGAGTTCTCTATCAAATATGTATGGCCACTAAAATAAGGCCAACAGAGTGGGACATTTGCAGTACCATTCATCATACAATTATAAAATGAGTAAATGCCCATTTTATTTCTTTAAACTGTGAATGTCAATTACTTTAGTCTTTTATTTTATAAAAAAATTAATTTAGTTCTTGACATTACAAAATGACATTTATTTTAATCATTTTTCTTATATACAAAAACAATAAAAAAAATAACTGAAAAAACTAAAGTAAATGATTTTGAAAAAATAAAACTAAAGTGAAGTTTTTATGAAGTTAACTATTAACGCAATTTATACTTACAATTTAAAGTACTAAAATGGGTATTTAATCACTATAAAAGGATGCCCCAAAATTTTACAACCAAGTCATTAGCAATTTTTAGCACGGTCAGAATCAATGTCAATGTTTACTAAGGAAAGTGCTTAGAGTTACTTTGAGTTCTCCTTTTCACTTTATTTTCTCTTATCCAATGGCTGTAAAGCAACAGAATGAGTCAAAAAAAGCCCATAGACTACTTGGAATTCGGTGCACCAAACCTTCGGAAAGCAAGAGAGAAAAGACAGTGGCGAATAATATTACTGCACACATTTACAGAATGGCAAGCTATAAAATAGATTATTTGGTCGGAAGGGAGATTCTAAGCTATGCAAGACAGGCTAGTGTTCACAACAGAAAGGAATCTACAGAATATGGTAGTAAATGGTATTCGTGCAATATGTCATTCACTAATAGCATGGTTAATCGAGGAAATCTAGGAAATGGGTCATTTCTTTCATGTATGTGAAGCTTTTTCGTAACCTATCAAAAGAAAAAGAAAAAAAAAAGGATGAAACTGACAGCATCAAATCATTAAAAGTTTGGTCAACCTTCAGTGTCACAGCCTCTTTATCCTTTACTTTGGAGCTTAAAATCATGAGAGGCATTTCGTGACCTTATGGGATCACAACCATCTGCCAAAGCAGGGCAATTTGTCATTGGGTCCAGCAAAAGGCAAACGTGAAAATGATCTACTCCAAACCTATCAACTGCATAATCCGTGCACAGTGCTTGCAAAACAAAGTAAAGTTTGGACAATAAAATGGCGCCACATGAGACAGGGCCAGGTTAAAAAGAATAGGCACCATGACGCAGATGAAACAGCCTGGATAATCCAATGGACCAATCCACATCATTCAAAATGTATCCAAATGAGAAAGGACAATCAAAACAAATAGATATCCTCTCTGCTAAACAGAAAATGACACGAACCATTTACATTTGAATTGCCACATTGAATGAAGAACCGATGCAAGTAAAAATCACCATTTTGATAAGGAATAGTATCAAAGTATACGTCAAGTCTAAACGGTAGTATTAACATTAAACACGGGATTCATCTGGATAAATAATGAGTATCAAAGCATATTTCATCCCGGCTGTTTTTATCTATGCATTAAAATCCATGTGACTGTAGCAGAATCCTAAACGTGAAGGATGAGGATCCTATCTGCCTTCAAATAATATGTGCTCTTCTTCTAACGTGGTCCTATCTTTGACAACTGAGACCCAACTTTCTGCAATCTTAGCAACTCTTCCTTCAGAAATCTCAACTAAAGTAAAGGCTCTTGTACCTTTTGCCTCTGGTGAGGAAAAAGCACTTTCAGCGTCTAAGCCTCTCTTGTCTTCATCACCTGATCTTTTGACCCTTGGAACAACGGCCCCATTTAAGTATATGGTGTTATCAGTGCCAACCACTATCATTTTCCTAAAGCCATTGCCATATGCCAGCTCTTTGTGCATGTGACCGAACACAACCAATGGAATAGATCTTTGATTGTTCTCTTTTAGCAATGATATTGCATGTGCTAGATCTGTTAAAAAAACATACTAAAATAGGTTAAAAACAGTATCACATTTTGGCTACGTTTGCATGATCCTCATCATCTTAGCATCGTAAGGTATAGGTCCACCAAAATTTACAAAAGGCTAGCAGAATCACTACTATAATTTGATATATGCGAACAACATACACAAACATTTGAAATGAAAGAACCCAGTTATTTAGCATTAATATGGAAAAAAAAAAACTAGAGTTGACATGGGAAAAAAATTCTCTGCCAGAACCACAAAAGGAGATAATACTTTTGATAACAATCCAAGCTCTGAAGTATATATTACCTGGGTCACCATGATCACCATCACTCCCAAATTCCCAATCTTTTCCACAGATGTCATTTAAACCAGAACCAAGGCCTACACAAAGTTAAAATTCAGGCATTACTCTTTGTATCAGATGTGATTGACTAGTACCAGCAAAGCTGATATTAAATTTGGGATGCTGTGTTGCACCTGTGGGTCCATTATGTGCAAGTAATATAAGAAAATGACCCTCTGGCGTGCCAAGAGCAGCTTTCTGAATACTCTTTGCACTCTCATCCATGCATTTGACACCATATCTAAGACAGCTCAAAATTGATAAATTGATTTCAAGCTACAATGGCAACAATAACAGTAAAACCACATAACATGATCTCCTTGATTGACAAGTCATTAAGGCCATCTAACTTTACTTTTTCTGTAGCCAATGCATTGTGAAAATCGTGGATAACTAAATGAGGCAACACGAGTTGACTGTTAGAACTTAGACAAGAAGCATAAAAGGATAATGCAGTGAGCCAGTGACTAACTGTCGGACCAATTCTACAAAATTCTTTCAAAGTGATCACTTAATTAGAGCAACAAGGTGAACTTAACTCTTTTGTAGGCAGTGGAAGCTAAGTCGGAAAGCTAAAAACATTAAATGGATTTTTGAGCTTTCTGAGAATTGAATTGTCTATAATTGCTTTCATTATAATACACACCTTGCGGACAGAAGCTTTTTCCGGAATAATGTTTTACCCCCGCAAGAAAATGGCCGTCCGCCAAGGACACTTACTTTTATCAAAGGAAAGTCTGAACGTTGATAAGCCACGTGCTCCCTACCAAGGCTGAGTTTTACATTGATAGATTCATTAATCAATAAATTTTCTAAGGCTCTCTATTAAATTATTATAAAGAGAAGAGAAAACTAAATCGAGATATTTGCCAAATTAGGCATTTAAGTAGTCAACTTTCCACTTTAGTAATTGGTAACTGCTCTCTACTTGACAAGTTTCTTGCACAATAAAAATTCATTATAGATATATTAAAAATTATAAATTAACTTTAAACCTTTAATGGGCTGTGAAAAATAGCCCATTTCCTTTTGAAAAACTTATGAACTTATTCCTTCACCCAAAACATTATACAGATGCCATAAAAAATATGTCTTCGTCAAGACTCAAGAATACATATATAAGGTAAGTATGAAATGTGGACACATGCACAAGGTCACATTAGTAGACCAGTGAAAATTTTCTCTAGAATGAACTGACTCCTTATAGATAATAATAATAATAACAACAACAACAACAACACGCTTACCATTCCAGTTGAAGCTGAACTTTATCCTTCTCACTAACATTTGAATCAAAGAGTTAGTTTACAACTGGACTACAAATCAGCATTTGCAACTATCACCTACTAGGCAGAAAACAAACTTCAAACAAATTGAAAAATTGACATATTATAAAACTTGTTTTCCCTAAAAGACTGTATGGATGGGATTGACATACTATTTTTATTTTTTTATTTTTGTGGTGGTGAGTGGGAAAGATACATTGTTCACATTGTAAATTTATTGTTCTTGCATCCCATCCTTTTTTAAAATGATATTTTGTCATGTCATGTCTTGTAGCAGAATCTAACAACATCAACCTTTCCACAAAGTAAATGTAGCCACATATTGACGCAGAATGATTCCAGAACAAACACATTGTTTTGAATAGATGAGATGAAAGAAAACCCAAATAATAATACATTTTGTTTAGTTTGGTTGAAGAGAAAATGAAGAAAAAAAGGATAGAAAAAGGAGTGTAGAGTTGACTTTTAGAAACAAAAATTCAAAATTTATTCTCCTCCCATTTTCTCTTCAATTTAAATTTCAATTTTTGTTTCCTCTCCAACCATTTTCTTTCCACTAAACCAGAGGTAAACTTCACCTTCTCGAGAACTGTGTAGTAAACCAGGAATCATGGTTTCCCAAAATAACTGCTTTAGGAAATTCAAGATTTGCTACACTCTGAACAACTTCAACATTTTCATCTCCAAAATCACCTAACAAAATTCAATACAGGACAATTGAAAAGAGGATGGAAGCAGTAACAAAGATAATAAATTAATCATCATACAGTTAACTTGGCATGCATTAACATGCTGACTTCTTCAGGTCTCTGGTTATCAATGCAAATCATAAAAACAAGGAACACTCCTAGTTTATTTAGACATACAAAATATCAATGCCATGGTATTCAATTTTCGATATGGACACTGATTTTTCATAGGTTGACACCAGCAATTTCCATACCAAAAAGAATAGGCCATAAGGAAGCAAAGGCACTTAAATGCATTTAAGAAAAATCACCATAGTGCATTAGATTGGTCAGCATTCAGCAGAAACAATGAAACTTGCCTGTAAACAGAACCAAATCTGGCTGCACTTCAACATAGGACAAGATTAGATTGATAGGTCAGATACACATTTGCATGCTTATTAAATAAGTTCATATAAATTAAAGAAAAAGACAACACAATATAAATTAACACCAAGAAAATTCACTGCATAAAACAATACATGATTAAATTTAAATCAATTAGGAAATTTATACACAAATGACACAACTTCAATATCTGGTGGCTTCTCTATTGCAACTGTTTGCATGACTGCATGCACTATCAATTTCTTTGGAACAGGTAAAATTGGAGCAGCTAATTTTGGGAAATTGAACATTAAGGGTGAAAGTAATATTATCCAGTATAGACATTGAAACGAATGTGGAAGGAATATATATGAGGAAGTTGAACCTTAATTCCACAAAAATCAATCACTCAACAACGAAAAGAAAATTGGTAAACAAGTTTATAGCATTATAAATTACGCACTTATTTTATAAAACATCATCTTAATAGAAATTAATGACAGGTGAATATGCAATATCACAATTTTCTCATCATTTTATTGATTCCTCTTCTTTTAATTGCTTCAATTTTTTTCTTTCTCATTCTGTTCTCAAATCTCTTATCCAAGCTTTAATCTTATAAAACTTTCTTTTCCACCATTTCTACATTGAATAACTACTTGCCAGTTCATTTCAGCATCTTTCAAATTTTTATGATTACGTTTAAAAATGCTTCTTAAAAGAATCCTGCATGCATTACTTCAGCATAACAAAATGTCTAAAAAAGGTTAAAAAAAAAAAAAACTAATCCTCTATTAAGAACCAAGGTCAAAATAAAATAAAAAGCAATCAAGGAACAACTATTTTCCTCTGTAGTACTTGAAAGGCGTATTTCACAAAAGTTTAAGATTTTCTAACAAAGCCTCATTTTCCCCTCTTGGATGGGGGGAATCAAAATTACAATTTGATCATTAAATCAACCTTTTATCATAATTATCAAATTTTATGATTATTTAAGGTTCACACATACAATGCATACAATTTCGGGTTAGGGAAAATGAAAGCGAACATAGACCACACACCCCACAAGGATGAATAAAATGGCACGTAGATTGGAAGCAGAATTAGAATATTATAAATGTAAGCAAAGGGTTTCCATCAACAGAGAACAAAAAAGAAAATATGGATAAGAGTACCTGCAAGAACTCGAGTGCTTTCGAATCTAGTTCGAAGTTCCAGCAATCATGCTTCAGAAAACCAAAATTAGGAAAGTGTGAAGTAAAAATTGTGTTTGAAAATTGGCACAGTGAAGGAGAGGCTAATTTACCACATCACCGACGATGGCGATTAGAACAGTAGACGTTGCCATTGAAGAGCGAGAGAGATTGAGCTTCGGGTTCACACAATACCTCAAGAACGAAAACATCGAAGACACGTGGACACATGCGCTCAACATGGTCATTGAAAAATGAAAAATAGAATATTAGTTTTTAAATAGAGTTGGACTTTGATGAATATTGTTAAGATCTGTATAACAAAATATTTACTATATGTTAATTATTTTATAGAAATAAACAAGACAAGCATCAATTTAATATTTTCTTTTTTTAATTCTTTTGTTTATAGCTTGGAGTTTTTTTTTTATGGATAAAGTAAGGTAATATGTATTACTAAATTAATTTCGAGAATTTCTATGATGTCTCATTTCAAATTTTCGATGATCACAAATGACTTTAATTACGTTGGATTGTCCACAAGAGGGTATATGAAATATGGAGGTGGGATTAATTGCTATAAATATTTATTTATTTTGTTAAACGAAAGTTAGATTGTCTACCAATTACCAAAATTGAAAGTTAGATTGGATTGGGTTAACTGATTTTATTGGGTAAGAGAACATAGAGCTCAAACACATTAGTTCGGCTCTCTAGTCCAAGGTCTCATCATGTTATTACAATTTCTTATTCATGGCAACATTTTTTTAACTATCGTGTACAAATCTAGTTTATTTTTCTTCTCCTTTTTACTATTGTTCATTGTCATTCTCTTGGATATACTCTTAATGTTATCTATCATTTAATTAATAACTTTTTTCAAATTCTTTTTTTAAATTATTATTAATTAATAAAATTTTAAGGGCCTAATGTATGGAATTATAAAAAAAATTGTTCAAAATGATGGTAGAATATAATAAAATGCGTACATGAATTATGATATTTAAGAACTTTGTCATTTTACATGTATGTCAACGTGTTCATTAGACGTAAGTGTGTGTTTTGACCTTGTAGATGATGCATAAGGTGCCAATAAAATTATTATTTGTGAAATATAAAAATATGGTGATACGATTGAGCTATACAATATTGGGTCATCTCAAACATGGTCAAAATGAATAGTAATATAGATTGAAGTCTATTCAAAACTACACATTACATAAGTCTTATTACTTTATGTAGCTCCATATTTGATACTATATTAGATTGTCATTTCTTTAAGTGAATCTAGTTTAACTATTAACATTCTCAATTTGGTATTTTCTTGATGCACATGTATATATATATATTACACTACACAAAAACATAAACTCATAAACATGTTTATGTTTATGATTATATCCATTGTAATTTTTTTAAAATAAAAAAAAATGTATCCCTTTTGTTTTTTCAATAACTAGGTTCTCAGTCAATCCTTAAGTATCTTATAAAAATTAGTTGTGAATGAACTTGGTTAATGGTTGCGTCTTAAATGGCCGATCTTAAAAAATCACAGCTCACACCATATATAAATGCCACAACAGCTACTGAATAGGAGAAGAGTTTTTATTGTTATTATTAACATAGGAGCTTAATTACTTGCACGCAACATACATATAATGCCATTGTTTCAAATATACACAACGTGTGCCGGTCTATTTACATCTCAAGTTTTTCATTGACTGCTAATAGATTCAATATTTCAATCATTGAAATTTCATATCAAATATAATATTGTATATAATTTTTTTTATATTTTTTAATTTTTGTATACACACATCTAAATAATATACCACAATCATAAATAAAACACTTAAAAATGTCTTATAAAGTGGTAAAAATAAAAAATTTCCTATGAATAAAGTGATATAATATCTTCTAACTCTAGTTTTCCAGTTCTTTTAATGATGGGAACAAACAAGAAGCTGCAAAAATCCTTGACATGGAATTGGCGCGTTCAATCAGCCGCCACTTCACACCGCAATTGGCGCGTTGACTTATTCCAATCTTCTAGCAACATAAATTTTTTCTTTTTTTTTATAAATTTTAATTTATTATTTTAATACATATCAAAGACTAATTTATAAAAACGATTATAATTTTCATGATCTCTTTTTAATTCATTTTAATATTTTTTAGAATAATTTTATAAACCATCGTTTTAAAAAATTATTAAATAGTAACTTAAATAAATTATATATCTGAACACATATCAAATGAAAACTAAAATAAAAACTTACACAACTATTATTCTATCCTATTTGTATCTAATTCTGTATCCTATAATTTTTTTTCTAACAAATTACCCCTCGTCTCTAAAAAAAAAAAAAAGAAATATAATGAACTAGAAATTTTTACTTTGAATATAAAAGATATATGAAAGCTTATAATTTTTTTCAAAAGAAAAGGGAAAAGAAGCATGTCTATTTTTTTAAGGAATAAATACTCATTTCAATCATTAAAACTATAAACGTCAATTAATTTAATTCTTAAATTTATGAAAATATCACTTTCAATCTTAAATTTTAAACCTTACTCATTTTCATTTTATTTACTTATTTTTTATTATCATGTTATATAAAAAGGGACTAAAATAATTTTTGTTTTGTAAAATTAGAAATTAATGTAAGATTTTTGTGAAGTCCAAGAGTAAATAATCTTGGAGGAATTAATTTACTCGTTATTTTAATTCTTAACTTCTGCACGCTTGCTTCACACCTTTGACTGTCTGTATAACTTGCAGAAGAGTATCCATAGAACACGCATTTCTTTTTTTTCATTTGTTGTTGCCATCAAGAACCTTATCTTTAGCTTGTTTGAATTGCCAAATCTATTCCCTTAAATATATGTGGACGAGACAATTAGCATTAAAGAAATGGACCAAGCTTCAATTTTCCTCGTACCAATCTAAAGAACAGTCTTCTCATCAAAGCCATTGAATTACATATCTAGCATGAAGATATATCATATATATATATATATATATATATATATATATATATATATATATATAATAGAGAAGCTATAATCAAACACACGAATTCACCACACACCCCTCAAGGAAATGAAGAACAACACAATGGTCAGCCTCAAAAGCTTTTCATTTCTGGTTTCCGCCATCCTTGTCATGTTCCAACCAAGTTTCTCCTCAGGACAAGCCACAGTGAAAGGAGGGTATTGGTTCTCTGATGCTGGCCCTGCGGTTTCAGACATTGATCCAACCTATTTCACTCACCTCTTCTGTGCCTTTGCAGACCTTGACACCAACACCAACAAAGTCACCATTTCTTCCTCCAATGCACCCTTGTTCTCAACCTTCACCCAAACTCTCCAACAGAAGAACCCTTCAGTGAAAACCCTTCTATCCATAGGTGGTGGTGGAGGCCCTTCACTAGCATCAGCTTTTGCTAAAATGGCTAGCCAAGCCAGCACCCGAAAATCCTTCATAGACTCTTCAATTCGTGTAGCCAGAAGCAACAACTTCCACGGTCTTGATCTTGATTGGGAGTACCCTTCTTCTGACACAGACAAAACCAACTTTGGTTTACTCCTTAAGGAATGGAGTGAAGCTGTTGCTGAAGAATCCAACAACACTGGCAACACTACATTGTTGTTATCTGCAGCGGTGGCTGGTTCTGATCAGATATCTCCATTGGAATATTACCCAGTTGAAGAAATTGCAAATTACTTGGACTGGGCCAACGTGATGGTCTATGACCTTTTCACACCAAATGGGTACCCAACATTGACACAACCACCTGCACCTTTGGAAAACCCACAAGGCCAATTCAGTGGAGATCAAGGGATCACCAAATGGATTCAACTAGGATTGCCCGCGAACCATATTGCACTTGGGTTGCCGTTTTATGGCTATTCTTGGCGTTTGGTGAATGGTAATGAACATGGATTGTTTGCTCCTGCCAATGGTGCAACTTCTGGTGATGGGGATATTGGGTATGGAGATATTAAGAAATTCATAAGCAATGAGATGGCACAGACTGTGTATAACTCCACGTTTGTCACAGATTATTGTTATTCTGGGACAACGTGGATTGGTTATGATGATACTTCCAGTGTCACTGCAAAGGTCAATTATGCTAAAGGAAAAGGGTTGATCGGATATTTTACTTGGCATATTGGCGCCGATGATGATTCCTGGACACTTTCTAAAACTGGTGAGTAATAAGGTTTGTTTTTTTGTTCTGCAATATATAAAATATACATCCCCATTTTCTTGCAATTAAATAGGACAAACATCATTCGTAGCTTTAGTTGCTCTATTTTCTTCTTGTCTATAGTATATTTCTAATATAAAAAATTGGAATTTTATGGTTATGGGTGTGGTACCATAAAAACTTCCATTTTATATGTTAACATCATAAGCAACGGCTTCTATCATACACATGTCCACGTTGCGTTGTTTATTACTTTATTAGTTAGCTTCAAGACTTGGGTGTGTCTATCCGTAGTCGATTGACTTGAACATTTCTTCGATTACATGAATTGACCTTTGATTCAAATAAGAGATTGAACTGAGAAGAAAAATGAAATCAAGGGAACTGACGAAAATCAAATAGCGTTTTGCCGGTCCATACATTTATCTAATTTCTTATAGTGACATGTAAGGGTAATTTCTTGAGAAGATATGATATTTATATACTGTAAAGATAGTGGCATAAACAGAAGTATACGATTCTTCATTAAAATAAGAGTGGATGACTATTTTTTCAAAAGAGAATGTAAATTTAAAGGTGGGATTTCTTTAGGACATTTCAATGTTTCTGTGATTTATTTGGTGTGTATGTGAAGTGCATGAATGTGTAGATTTTTTTTGTCATTTTGAGATTTCATCAAAAAATGGGAGAAAAAGTGAGCATTGAGACGTTAATATCAAATTCAACATAAAATATTTTTAAAGAAAAATATATCCCATTAGAATAACTAGGTGATGTTACAGCAGTTAGATCTTGTATCTTATACATACACACACACACACCATATCTGCATAATTTCAGTTCTTTGATCTTTCAACTTTCTAATTAACCGATGCTTAATTATACTTGCAGCTTCAAATGCTTGGGGATCTTAAATATGAGGGGTCAAAGAGTCAGCTCAGAGGCTTATGCTATTATATAATAAGGTTACCGATGTAATAAAAATAAGGTAAATTGAAGAGATAAATGCTTGTATGTCATGTTGTATGTAGTCTTTTTAATTTTTTTTCCGGTAATAGATTATGAAGTTGAAAAAAGTTAAAATCTCATTGTAAAATTTCATCAATAATGGACACCAGGTATACATCAGTACGTGATACGAAATCTCTGCAGTTACATTTTGTAATGTTTTAAAAGATTTCTTTCTGTATTAAATTAAAGCATTGGAAATTCCCTTTGAAAAATCATTGCCATCAGATTTCGAACTGCAACCTACAGAGTTCATGAATAAATATTTTGTTTTCGAGGACCATTTCTATATTTTTCATATTAAACAAAATAAATAATATTTTGGCATCATCCACCCATTTATTCAATTATGGAAAAATATTTATTATATAAAAATCACAAAAGTATGGTAAATATTTTCTTTTATTTAGATTTTTGTTTGTCATTTAGATGTTTAAAATTAATTTTAGGAATTAATGCTAACAAAACTATTAAAATAAAAAGAAATTGGTGTCATTTTGTTAAAAATATGTGTATATTATTCATTCTATCCTTTTTCAGATAAATAATTATGTCCTGTTTTGTTCCATTTTTAAAATGCACCAAACATAAAATAAAGATCCCTAATATTTTGTTTTATCTCATTCTTACCTCTTTACCAAACGCTGTTCTAGAGCCGCACCATTAGATAGAGGGGAAAAAATATATATATCACAATTTTTCCATTGTTTTAATAGAAATAAACTAAGAAACTTCTTATTAAATGATAGGATACAAAGAAGGAAATCATCCTAGCACACTACTTATTAAGATTTTAATATGGATTATACTCGATATTTGAAAAAGACAAGTATTTGAACTTAAGCTTAAGAGATTCACTTTTCTAAAATGTCTTTAAAAATTTTAGATTTAAATTCTCTTGCTTATATAATATTTGATTTGTTGCTAATGTAAAAATTAATATCTCGACACCACACACGAAAAGCAACTCACTCGGTCTTCTTTGAATACATATCTTTTAATTTGATTCTAAATTATTTCTACGTACAATTAATTGGCAACTTAAATATTTAAGACAAATGCTGCAAATTTGTGAAACTTTATTTTATTTGGCCTCTCTTTAAATGTTATTCGATTCAATTGCATGAAGCATACGTAAGTCGAACAAGTGTTACCATTTTTTTGGGTACATTGGAACAAAATGTTACCATTTATATCAATACTTTGAAATCAATTTTCAAATGTGTTGTAACATATTACTACTTACAAGTAAAATTAAATCTCGGAGTGATGGTTGGTAAATGGAAATTGGAAATTAAATACGTTCAGAATGAGTCAACACTTTGAAATCATTTTTCAAAAGTGATGTAACATCTTACTATTTACTAGTAAAAAGACCAAGACCTTCACCATGCAAGTCCTGAGCATGCCTCCTTGTTTTCTAGTGATCAACCTTACTTTGTGTGTAACTTTTAACCTTAAAATTTAAGTTGAAATTTATTTCATGGTTGGTATTAATGGTGGAATTGAAATTATGGTTCAGATCAATATTAATTCGAATTTTCAGAATTCAAATTGATTCGTGTGAATATATATATTAAGTATGTAAAATTATGTAAAAAGTATGTAAAATTAAAATTTTAAATTCAATTCTGATTCCACTCAAATATAAAAATATTTATTTGAATGAATGAAAATGAATAATTACAAGTATGAGATAACATAAATAGAAACGAATAGTTATAGAAAATAGTAAAAATATTACCAAGATATTTCTGTAGTGTACTATATTACTTAACGAGTACGAATGATGAATAAATATACTGAATTCTCAATTATTTTTTTTACTAAAATGAATAAGAATCAAATTGCAATAATATGAAACAAATGAAACTGAATATGTTTTTCATTTATCAATATAGATATGAAGAAAAAGTTTATAATATACATGACATGTATTTTTTGTCAAAGCTTGTTAAATGTAGAAATAGGAGAGACACAACTTTTGTTTTTCAAGTAAAGCACAATTTTAATATCTAAATACGAAATCGATCATTTTAAGATAATAATTTAAATTTTAAAATTAAAATAATTATTATTCCTATTAAGGAAATACTAATCTTTGAATTTTTATTTGGATAGGATGACGTCCTTCCGTACGTTGCTGATATAGAGAAGGTACCTGCAAAAAGCACTTTGATGCTGAAAATCAGGTTTTGATTCTGAGCAGTAAATACTATTAAATATTCAAAAGTCTACCCTTTATTTATACTTCTTACTTTTCTTTTATAGAAAATATTATGGGCTAATGAGCTTGTCGAGTCAGTCTTAATCTTGACCCTTTAATTAGAGTAGATAATAATTTGATTATTTCTCTTAATTGAGTTAATTATCTTTAATTCTGAGTAAAAAAGTATTCAACTTATCTTGACTGAGGAGATATTCAGTTCCTTTTTTTTATAGTTAAAGACCGAGTAGTATCTTGTCGTCGGATACAATTGTTTGTGTAATTATATAAATTATAAAATAAACTTTAATTTAACTTGAATGATTTTTTAAATTTACCGACATCTCGTAACCTTTAACTTTAAAAAAATAAAATCAAATTCTAACTTTAAAAAGACTTCCCTGTCCCTATCATAAAAGTTGAATCAATAGCTCTCATAATGACTCTGTCGTATCCTTAATTTCAGACGTGAAGCAGACTCTTAAATTAATGACTGACGCACAATTGTTGAGTTATGTCATCAAGTATAACATAAAAGGGCTTAATTGTACTAACAAAAAGTTAATAATAAAGTTTAATTAAAAACAATATTTGTAAGTATTCTTTTCCTTTTGTTTTGAAGATTCAAGAGCTGTTCCCAACTGAGGTGCAAAAAGAGTTGGGGCAAAGTTGGGCAATTCAAGTCATTGACCGCAAAAAAATCAGTTTCCGTACAAAGAATAGAATAATTCTAAATTTCTTTATTTTATATATCTATAAATATGTTTATGTAAGTATAAAATATTAAATAATTTTATACATTTTAAGATAATAAATGTTTATTTTTTATTTAATATGTATTTTATAAAATATAATATAATAAAATTCCAAATAGTACTTGGAGAAGTCAAAGGAGCTTTCAACAGGTATGGAGTCAACATACTTTATAGAAAATGGAAATTGAGAGAGATATTTTCCTACGAATTAACAATGGAAATTTATGCATTTCCTGGAAAAGCAAGGTGGATGCAAATTTTCTTTAACAACTTTCGTGTACCAATCAAATTGTCCAATTGTAATTCTTTCTGCAATCAATATTCCTGATTTGAGAAAATTTGCATTTGAGGTTTGAGCTTCAAGAAAGATGAGCACCCAATGCAAATTGGAACATAGTCATGAATTCCATAATAATGTGTGAATTAGTGAAACTTTATTATTCTTTTTCGTACTAAAATTAAAATTTACTATTTCAACAAAAACTGTAAGAAAAAATAAACAGAGCACAACTTATAACCAAAAAATGACAAGTACACCACAAATTTTAAACTCGTCAAAGTAAAATTCAATTTTTATTCAAACTGATAATCCATTATCATTACCGAAACGCCATACCAAACAAGTAGTACGTGAAAAAAAAAATTATGTTGTGTTAATCATGTGATGAATAATAATGTATAATTTATACATGAACATGTGATGTATATAATAAATTTTTATTTAAAATTATAAATTTAATGGAATTAAATAGATAATACTTTTAAATATTACATTTTTTAATAAAAGAATTATTATCCTATGTGTAATATTAGCCATGTTAAATAATACTATTAATAATAACATAAACAACTTAGCATATTTTCTTTTGCTTTGGTTGAATTTGGAAGGTTACGTGGACGTATTTAGCACGTATTCACTCTATAACTGTAACTGATAATAATAGACAGAAGACACACTCTAGAACCATCGTTATGGTGTTCTTTATATTTATACTAGAATCGTGTTGCGTAGCATTCTTCATCGTTGGCAGAGTAAGGTAAATGTTTCTGATTTCAACGAAAATGGAAGAAAAGAGAGCGGTGGTAGCTAGTGTCAGCACATGGCAACACAAATAAATAAACATTTGTCTCCGAAGATTGAGACACCACTTCACATTAATACGATGGCTTCACATTTCAATGCTTTCTTCCATTTCCTTGTCCTCCTTATCTTCCTCCCTCTCAATTCTCACTCTTTTGCAGATACCCCTTCGTGGGTCAAAGCTGGTTATTACTATTCTGGGAACGAAATTTCTGCTTCAGACATAAAAGCCACGCTTTTCACTCACCTCTTATGCGCTTTCGCTTTCATAAATTCCACCAACTACAACATCTTTATCAACTCTTCCGAAGAACACAAGTTTTTAACTTTCACCAACACAGTGAAACTCCAAAACCCATCTGTTTCAACGCTTCTTTCCATCTGGGGTGGCCGAGAGGACACTTTAGTCTTTTCCTCAATGCTAAACCAATCTGTTTATAGAAAGTCTTTCATTGATTCTTCCATCAGAAAAGCAAGGCTATGTGGTTTTCATGGCATAGACCTTTATGGGGCATGGCCAAGACAACGAGGTTCAGACCTTGAAAATTTTGCAGCCCTTTTGAAGGAGTGGCGTGATGCAATAAATTTTGAGGCAAGAAACTCTAGCAAACCTGAGTTGATGTTAGTGATGGCAGGTCATTACCTTAGAGCGTCAGACTCAAGGAGTTACCCTTTTGGTTCTATGCAGAAGAACTTGGATTGGGTGCATTTTGTGGCATATGATTACTATCTTCCTAGGAAGGAGAATTTCACGGGTTTTCATGCAGCTTTGCATGGTCCATCTCGTTGGGATAACACCGATTCTGGTATTAAAGAGTGGAGGAGGAGGGGGTTTTCTTCGAACAAGTTGTTGATTGGCTTGCCTTATCATGGATATGCTTGGCAACTTGTGAACCCTAGAGGAAACAATGATGTTGGAGCACCTGCATCAGGACCTGCCATCACAATGGATGGTTCCATGGGTTATAAGTTTATAAAGAGTTACATTAGAAGCTTTGGAGATGGAGCTGTTTCACGTCACAATGCTACTTTTGAGGTGAATCAGTTCACTGTTGCATCCATCACTTGGGTTAATTTTGATGATGTGGAAGTAATCAGGGCCAAAGTGTCTTATGCAAAGGAAAATGGACTACTTGGTTACAGCGTGTTCCAAGTGGGCAATGACGAAAATTGGGTCCTTTCAAGGGCAGGTGAGTGACAGAAACATAAACCAAGTTTACCACCTTCAGGTTAAGTAAATCATTCTTTGGAATTGGACTGAGTCCACTTCTTGCTTCTTTTTTCTATTGAAAATATCTAACTTGAAATGTTGTGCATACTGGTAGACTGCTTCTGAAATTATGAAGATCTTTCTCTACCCTTGACCCCTAGTCTAATTTTAGATGATTTGGTGTTAATTTCCATGCTCTTGAAACACATTAATGATTGGTTGAGGTGGCCACCATGATTATCATATTTATGTTGTTATGCATGCAATATTCTTCTTAATCTCTGGAATAACACATGCATCACTTCGTTTGCAACACCATCTTTCAGCTCAAGAAGTAGATGAACATCATCATCATATGAGTAGGTTGCTGATAATTGTTCTGCTTACAATTCTGATTGTCACGCTTCTATTGGGAATAGTATTTTTCTTCTATTACAGAGGTAAGGATGTGATTCCCTTTTTCTAAGAGTGATAACATCTTGTTACACATCAAGAGATTGGCATATGTACTTTTTTCCTTTTATTTATTTCCTACCATCTTGGCAGGAGTAGTAGCCACTATTACAAGAATAGTATATAAGCTGAGATATTTATCAGAAGCCGAAGAAGATCTCGAAAGCAACGCTTCTGATCTCAAAGTGTTCAGTTATCTCACAATTAAAGTGGCGACAAATAACTTCTCAAAAGATAATAAGCTTGGAGAGGGTGGATTTGGTGCAGTATACAAGGTAACATTTGGAAATATTCATCATTATTGAAGTTCTTCATGCAAAACTCCTCTAGCTGCATCATGTCCGGTACAGTATCATATCCAGCAATTTTGTTAACATGAAACACTAAAATTTAATATAATGCATGAGTCAGAACTACACCTTATACAACTTTTATTTACTTACCATTGATCAAGATGAACGGTTGAACCTTGATAAAATGTTAAGGTTGTTGCCTTATGACGTAGAGGCCAAAAAGGTTCAAATCCTGAAACAATCTCTCTGGTTGCGAGACTAAGGCTGCATACATCCACCTTTCACAAATCGAACCAGGTGGGAGCCTTATGCATATACCATCGGTCCTGATCAATAAATTTCACAGGAAAATGAATCTATTTACTCAACTCCCAATAATGCAGACCAGAAACTTCAACTACTTTGGGTTTTAGGTGACCAAAGTTGTGCAATTGAACCAAAGAAACTATAGCCTCTTTTCACAATCAGAGTCTCGAAAGTCATTTTACCTTAGAGGCTGCTTACTCTCAATACTAAAGCGCTTGAATTTGAAGTGGATACACAGTTGGTAGTTGTGCCTTGTTTTCTATTGATAATTGATAAAGGATACAATACTAAAAACTTCCTGTTCCCCGGTGCAAACTACTAATCAAAGAGTCCAGTCAAGTAATTCTCGGATGACTAAGTTATGATTTGATTTTGTTAGGGAAGATTACGGAAGGGACAGGAAATAGCTGTAAAAAGACTCTCAGAGACCTCTAGTCAAGGCATTGAAGAGTTCAGAAATGAGATTACACTTACAGCAAGACTACAACATGTGAACTTAGTGAGACTTCTAGGTTACTGCACAAAAAAGGAGGAGAAGATTCTGATCTATGAATACCTGCCAAACAAAAGCTTAGATCATTTCCTCTTTGGTAAGTTACATTACTTATCCTGCATTATTTTTTAAAAAAATTAAAACAAATAACATAATTGATTGTGATTTGCCAGTTAAATTGGTATGTCGGATTCTTCTAGGCATCTTAACCTGCTACTAAACTCAGTTAAACTTCAAAGTTCAAACTAGCAATCATTCTAGATTGTGCAATTTTTTCAGATATACATTTCAGTGACTAATAACAAGAATTGAACTTGATGCAGATCCAAGGAAATCAATTCTTCTAGATTGGAACAAGCGTATCAATATCATTGAAGGGGTTACTCAAGGCCTTCTTTACCTCCAAGAGTACTCAAATTTTACTATTATCCATCGAGATCTTAAAGCGAGTAATGTTTTGTTAGACCATGAGATGAATCCAAAGATATCAGATTTTGGTATGGCTAGGATGTTCAGGAAATATGACCTTGAAGCAAACACAAGCAGGATTGTTGGAACATAGTGAGTAAATTTGCATTGGTGACATGTTATGGTTGCTCCTTCATATCTCTAATCATTACCCTTGACTTTGTAGTGGGTATGTACCTCCTGAGTATGTGAGAAAAGGCATATACTCAACAAAGTACGATGTTTATAGCTTTGGAGTTCTTCTCTTGCAAATCATAAGTGGAAAGAGGACATCATGTTATTATGGCACACATGAAAACATGAACCTTTTGGAATATGTAAGTACTTAAAATATATTTTCTATGACTACTCTATCCTTTTTATGTTTATTCTTGGTTTGCTTGATGCTAAATTTTTCTTAATGGGGATAATGGGATGTACAATTCATGAAAATAGCTTCCTATTTTTCAGGCATATGAACTGTGGATAGAAGACAGAGGTGTGGAGTTTTTTGACCAATCATTGGATGATACAGCATCACCATGTAAAATCATGAGATGCATGCAGGTGGCCCTTTTGTGTGTTCAAGACAACTCTGCAGATAGACCTTCCATGTTGGAAGTTGATTCACTGCTCAAGAATGAAGCTGCTGCTATTGGCACTCCCAAAATGCCTGCTTTTTCAGCTAAAAAACATGAAGATGAGGAAGAAACATCTCACAGCGGGATCAAACTCTCTTCAATCAATGATGTTACAATTTCTCAACTGGCACCAAGATGATGGGTGGTATGGAGCAGGACATTCTAGTACTTAACTATGAATCGAATCATTTCAGGTTAATTTTTTATTTGACTTTGTTCCTTCGGAGCGGGAAACTAGAAACTTAGCCTTGGAACTCCAGCAGAGTATATAAGATGTGGATTAACCAGTTACATGATTAACTGCTATTATTCAAGAATGTGAGATGATATCTGAAAATTATAAAATGATTGTATATATAAATTCCAGTAAAAAAGAATATGAAAATATATGAAAATGGGGAAATATTATTAAGCTTTTGTTGGTATTTTATAAAATTGACATTACACATTACCATTTTTTTTTGTCAACTTATTTCACAACTTAGACAAAAAAAATTAAGAGAAATGAATACTGGAAACAATTTTAATATGTATATGTTTTGTAACAAATGCAGTGTCACTAAATATAATGTAGTGATTTATATTCAATTAAATTAAGTAAAATAAAAGTATAATTTTTAAGCACTCTTGGTATGTATAATTATACATAATTTGTGTGTCTATATAATATTATTTTTGTGTAATTTGTATAGAATTATATTAAAAAAATATTATTAAACTGTGATGTCAAATAAATAATAATCTTATTATTTAGGACGTGCTGATTATGAAAAAAATAAAAAATATATCGAGATGGTAATGTGTTAATGAGACAGTAAACTCACAAACTCCCCAACACAGAAGACAAAGTAGTTTTGAGCAAATCATTAGAGATTAAGGTATAATTTATCCTAATTTTAAAAGTATTTTTTATACAAACCGTAGGAGATTCAAATATAATTTACCCTAATATTTATTCGGTCGAAAATACTTTTAAGATATAAATGGTTAAACATCAACATTACTAAGTGTAAACTATGTTACTGAAAAATTAATTTTAATCAAATAGATAAATAAGAATAGAGGTAGTACTTCGTTTTGAAATTTTGGCTTAAACAGAACTCCATTGACAAGCTGACTCGAGCGATGGTCAATTCCAAGGCACGTTGTAATCCAGCTAGGGAATAAATGGTTTGTATTTAGAAAAGGGTTATGTAGGACTTATATTGAAGTTATAAAAGTATAATAAATGTTTTTTAATAAAAAATTATTTTTATCATTTGTTTATTTTCAATCTACTGAGATTAACATTTTTTTAAAATAAATAAATATTTTAATTGTATCGGCAAGGATCCATGTATCTTGATATGTATTTGTAGGAGCAATTTAATTTAAGAACCTTGCTTGCTGACTTGTGGCTTATATTTAGGAATGGCTCTCATCCCCAAATCACAATGCGTATACTAAATTTCTATTATTCAATGACCCCCTTCAGCTTTAGAAGGACAAGCTACCCCATAAATGGGACCAAAATTTTAGCCCCACCCACCTTTCTCTTCCTTCAAATGAAAAAGAGAACACTGCAAATATACACGTCAAATGCAAAATTCTTCAGATAAATAAGAATTTGGACACAGCCTAATTATCAGCATCATTTGGATTAGAAGATCAAATTAAGGTGGGGGGGGGGGAATATAAGTTTCTTTTATTATTTAGATTAAATAAAAGAGAAAGAATAAAGTAACTATGCTAAATAATATTTATATTTCTGTAATATAATAGAATATAGATAAAATTGGGCCATTTTCATCATTTCATATACCTTACAGCCTCTTTGAAAAACTCCGGTAACTTCACTTTGTAGAAAACGAAAAATATTTATCTTGGTAAAATATGTCTTAAAATGTAATTTTTTCTTATTACAATTGAAAAACAAATAGACGCTACATTTTGTTTCTCTCTTTCACCAGACTGAAGAGCAAAAGGGATAGGTGAGATTTATAGGTGAATTCTTCTCCTTTTTCAAGATATCAAACCAGAAAAATAATCTTGAAAATTATGTTTTTCTTCGCATTTCATTTACCTTAATTGTATTTTGAGTAATGATATATATAATAATTTTTCACAAAATTTGTTATAATTTAATTTTTTTATTACATCGCATCACTTATATGTCTTATAAATTAATCTTCTTCTTTTTATCTCTCTCTTGAATTATAAAAATTTATGTCAGATTTTTGGTAAGAGTATGATTACCTTGCATTTTGTAAGCTTCCAAACCAACGATACATTTTACATTCTTTACTAAAAAGATGTTTTTTCAATAAATTAATCACTTAGTACGGCAAAGTATCATCCCATCGATGAGTTCTTGATCCGAATGAAGCATAAGTTTTTTCCAAACATATTATATAAATCATTTAAGCCGTTTGACTTCGAAAATAAAATCCAGCAAGATATTCATATTCAGTACAGAAACACAGCCGCTCGCTCATAGTTTGCTCAAAGGGCAAGAGAATCCATAAACATTCTCTTTGGATACCTTACATTTTCCCAATAATTAAAGCAGCTTATATGATGCGGCCATGAGTACCCCTATCAAAATTCTAAAATTTAAAAAAAAAAGAAAAGAATCTCTTATCTCGAAAACACAATATATTTAATGATTCTGATTATGCATGCACACCCATCAACACATAACAGAAAATTTTGTAATTAATGTATGATAGACGGCTGTGGTTACAATCTGATTAAGATTCCCACACTCACCTAATCAAAGTCAAATGTATAACAAATTTCCAAATAACTCTAAAATTTGAACCAAAAGCAACCAATAATCAAAGATCACGATGACAGCTTTTAGCAAACAAGGACATCCAACCTCCACACATGAGAATGTTACACAAACACTATAAAACCTTAGTAATATTACTACACACGTTCCATCCAAGCCTATAAGCAAAATCAAAAACCAAAACCCAAAGCTAAGAAGTCTTCATGGCAAACCTCAACCTGCTAAACTTCATTTTCTTAGTAACTCTCATGACCATAACCACAACCACCACAACATGCATTGCTTCCATAAAAGGCTTATATTGGCTTGAACAACCACTTTTCCCTCCTTCAGCCATAAACACATCACTCTTCACTCACGTCTACTACGCTTTTCTCCAACCCAACAACGTGACCTACCAACTCCACATTACCAACGCCACAGCCACAACCCTCACCACCTTCACCCCCACCCTCCAAGCCAAAACCCCTTCCGTCACCACCCTCATCTCCATCGGCGGCTCCAACTCCGACGTCACCCTCTTCTCTCTCATTGCCTCTAACTTCACCACGCGCGCAATCTTCATCAACTCCACCATCAACGTTGCACGAACCTTCGGTTTCCATGGTGTTGACCTCGACTGGGAATTCCCTCAAACCCCTGACGAAATGAACAACCTCGGCCTACTCTTCGCAGAGTGGCGCGCCGCAATCTCCGCCGAAGCCTCCGCCACCTGCCGGCCACCGCTTCTCCTCACCGCCGCCGTGTACTTCGCCGTCGATTTCTTCCTGTCCGACACCACGTCGTTGACGACGTACCCCGTGGATTCAATTAACAAGAACGTGGATTGGGTTAACGTTATGAGCTACGATCTTCATGGGCCGTGGAGCAACCATACTGGGCCTCCGTCTGGGCTTTTTGACCCGAAAAGTAATATAAGTGTGAGTTACGGGTTGTATTCGTGGATCCGGGGCGGGACCCTTCCGCAGAAGATGGTGATGGGTTTGGCACTTTATGGGAGGACGTGGCAGTTACGGGACCCAAGTGTGCATGGAATCGGGGCGCCATCTGTCGGGTCGGGTCCCGGGTTGGATGGTGCAATGGCGTTCTTTCAAGTGTTGGATTTTAATAACGAAACGGGTGTGAAGGTCGTGTATGACGTGGATACGGCGTCGGTTTATTCGTATAGTGGGAGTTATTGGGTCGGGTACGATGACCCGTTTACGGTGGCGGTTAAGGTTGGGTTTGCTCAAGCTCTTTCGCTTCGTGGATATTTCTTTTGGGCTGCTGGTCTTGATACTATCGATTGGAAAATCTCGACAAAAGGTAAACCAATTATATCTAATTTTTAAACGATATTTTTTCCAATCAGTGAAGCCATTTACGATTAAGAATTTTTTTTTTTAATTATCATAGCTAAGCAATATTAGTTAACATTGATTATTAAACGATATGATATCCATTTGTTGTATCTGTAGCTTTTAGATATACATTTAGTCATTAAAACCAATCTTTAGAATAAGAATGTATATATATATATTTAAAATTATATTTTAAAAAATGTTGTCTCTGTATCTTTTCATTTAGTCATGAAAAGATAAACTCATGTGATTAACAAATTATATTTATAATGGGTTAAATGGCATACAATAAGAATGTATATATAATAACTTTTTATTATATATATATATATATATATATGAATAATATTAAATATCATATTTCTTAATAAAATATTTTTTAACACGGACCTTAAGTACTTGCTAACAAACAAATTAAAACTGTTAAAAATTCAGATTGTCTCTTTCGTTGTTAACTTCATACACACTGTTTTCAATAAAAAAAAAATGATTTGTTCCTTTCTTGCAGACTCATGCAAGCACACCACAAAAAGGGGAAAAGTTGAATTTTTTTTAAGAGTTAAAGAGAATTTAAAACACTACTTAGTGATCTAATTAGTGCTATTTGATTGACAAAATGCAGCTTCGAAGGCGTGGATACTAAGAATGAATGATACTGGAGGAGTGAGCTAAAAGCTGACTTTCATGTTTGCATTATCATTATTTTTCATGATGTAGGGGAACATCGTACTTCATATTCAATATCAGCAATTAAGTATTTTTATAGACCCACCCACAAGAAGACCAGCATTCAGCACACCAAATATTTTTCACATTTTGAATAAAACATAAGCTTCATGCTATGTAAAAAATTTTCAATTACATTGTGAATTGTGAGTGTACTTCGTGATTCTTTGTTCAGTCCTACGAGTATTTTATTTTATTTTTTTTTATAAAAGCTTTTGGCTATGTTTAGCAAATTTAATTAAAAAACTAGCTGAAATTTTAAAATTTATTTTCTAACAGAAAGTAATAAAAAAAGGGTAGCTATTGATTCAATTAACAAATATAAAATAATTTAAAAGGACAAAATTATATGATATATATGTATATATGGTTTTTTAAATTTGTGAAAAATATATTTCCAGGTAATTGTAGTTTTGAGTTTACTAGTTTATTGTAAACTAAATATTTCGTTAGTAATTAAAATTAATAGTGTAAAAATGTAACGATTGAAATAAATATTTAGCATCGTTTGAATTATATTTTATCATGATGTCCCAAATTAATAAGCAAAATAAACGTATCATCTAACAATTCAAAATAGAATAATGATATTATTGTGATCAAAGAGAAATCTATTAAAGTGACAATAATAAAAGTATTAAATATTATAATAAGTTGTAAGTTCGAATACTACTTTAAGTAATATATAAAAAAACGTTTTATGTTAGCGAGATAAGCTTACTCATCACTTTTATTGACAGCATGTTTTTAATATAGGGCTCAAGCTCAACCGCAAGTGATTCACTAATCAAGATATAGGAATGCTGTCATATGAATATTCTAAAATAACTTAATATGATTTGTTTTTTGTTTAGTTGAAGGTATGGGAAGTAGAGGCACCTAATTAGACTCTAGATGGTGTATTCAGCCTAGTTCAAAGTTAGGTCATATATAGTCTTATAAGATTGATTGGTTTGGATCTTCTTCAATTTAATAAATAAATAATACAAATATAATTTCATATTATGTACATTAATATTCATTAACCAATGATTTTTTATTATCAATGCATAATTATGAAAAGTATAATTTTTTAAAAACATATTAAACATCAAGTTGGGTTGGAATAAACTGAAACATACTATGAATTTATTTTCAAAACACGACTCAATTTTAAAAATTTAAATCCATTAAAATTAACTTTAGACCAAGTCAAGTTAGTGGAGCGAGACAAGCTAGGCTGTCCTTGATATTAAGGTTAAGGAATATCATTACATATCCCAAATCCAGAAAGTTAATTCATAACATTTTATCAAACATTTATTTAATTAAAAAATATTCCACATATTACACAATATTATAAATTTAGATAAAATATAAAATACATACTTGAATTCTCCTTGAAACAAGAAAATATTATCTTACTTATAATAAAAGTATATAATCAAATGTAAAAATATACATTTGAAATTTTTAATAAAATAAAATCGGTTTAATTAATAAATATTGTTTTAATACATTTATAAATACCACATTATGTTTGATTTAAATTAAAATAAATACTAATTAAAGAAATTAAGCAAAATAATTTTGGGCTAATTGAATATTAATTAAAGAAGAAAAATATTATTTGTTTGATATAAAAATTCAAAACACAAAACTTGCAGAAAGGAATAAACACGCGATTATGTGAAAAACAAAATAAAAGATACATAAATGACTCATTTTAAAATGAAAAGTCAAATTTATTATGAATAATCTCCCTTCTAAGCTTCAATTCTTGGGAATGAATTAATCAATTCTCCGCTTAGAATTTGAACAAAATTATACATGACAAAATCTTGAGAGTTCTACTAACATGTTCTTGGATATTCTGAAAAAAAAGAAATATATATATATATATATATATATTCCCAACATATTCTGAATTTTTAATTAAAATTTACTAAAAATTATAAATAAGACTCATTAAATTAAAAATATTACTTATATAACTTTATAATTTTTAATAAATGTTAAGAATAATAAAAAAAAATGTTTAAAAGAGTGTTAAAAAGTATATTATTAACATTTCACTATAATAACTCAATCTGGGTTGAGTAATTAAATGGGAAACCAAACCCTATCAGTATGGTTACTACGACTTATCGAACATTACTTGGCCGTTGATTCTGAGTATAAAAATCGAAAACTCATTTGTATAAACAGCCACCATAAAAGGTTTAACAACTAAGGTACTGATACCTTGAACACATCAGGGGAAAGTTGTTTGATTACTCTCCCACACATCCAGATTGTAGCTTTAGTTCTAGTTGAGACCATCAAAAATAAATAAAACATTCAGGAATTAAGCTTGGTTACTGAAATGGTTAATACACAAATAGATGTTAAAAATTGAGCAGTAAGAAACAAAATTGCTTAAAACAATATCTTCAGGTCAGGAAAACTTAATATAGCTTTGACAGTTAACACTGTGAAAGTTGTTACAGAGGATTAATAATAACAATTTCTGCAGAAAAACTGCAAATGGATTACTCAGAACAGCCATATACAATTGTATATCCGCTTCAAACAGTATTCTGGTTCGGTGTTGGCAGAGTAAAATTGAACTGGAACTTCAGAAAGGCGAGGGCTATACTTTCTCTTCTTTTTCTTTTAACCATTCAACAAAATTGTCGAGGATCACGGGCCATGCTTGACTGGAGTCATAACTTCCAAGATCAACAAAGCTTACCTGGCAGCAACAAAGTCAAATATTTTTATCTGCGTGCTACTCTTAAAAATGAACCAACTTTCACCAATCAAATGTACAATTTATACAAACAACATAAATACACGTCATAAACAATTAGACATTATTCACAGTAGCCAGGGCCACGTGTAAATGAGCTGATATTTTCTTAAATTATGCAAGTTAAATTCATTAAATATTTTACCAGTTTTGTTATACTAAACAAACAACAAACTCAAACTTGCTCTTGTACTTGAGAAAAGCAAAGTTGAAACTTTACAAGTTTGACATTAAAAGCTACTGAATAGCTATTGCACACGCATGTGTGTAATAACACCTAATGTTAATTTTAAATAACATGTTGGGTGTATAACAGTTATTTTTATATTTCTATTACTTAATAAATAATAATTTTATCTAAAATATTATAATTACCCAATTTCAATGTTCAAAGATTTTTTTACACTCTTTCTCTTCCTATTTCACTTCATCTTCTAAAATGAAAAAAGTCTATAAAATACTAAATTAATGTACTTGAAAAGAGATCCAATAAAGGGAAAAGAAAATAATCAATCTACGAACAAGTCAAATAAGCAGAGTAAGCTTCTTATTTTTTAACTAATCAACCCTAAATTTTAAATTGATTTGTTTAAATAAGTCAAAATTGGGCACAACCTTTTTTTTTTCTCACAAGTTAAGCCTAAATTTCAAGTGTTTTACCTAACTCAACTCATTTACACCCATAGAGTAGATAAGCAAGATGAACTTGTGTTCATTAAAAATTCGGAGGGCAAGAAAACATTAAGTAAACTAAAATCACAAATCATGAGACTGCTGGAAAGGCAGGCTGAACATGACAGGCTTATGCTTTTTGCAAGATGAATTTTCTTATGATTTACATTACATTTACTGATTGACAGAAATAACTAATGCAACCAATTCTAGACACCATAGAAGTAAATATGAAAAGAACAAAAACGAGGAAAAATATTCCTAGAAAGAATTTTTCCTCTAGAGGATTAAGCTAACATTTTTATCTTTTAAATTTTACTAAGGACTTCAGAATTGGCCAAGAGCCTATAATAGTTACCAATACTCCAATTAATCTCACAATCAGACAGTAAAGTCAACCAAAAGTGAAGAAATATATATAATATAAAATCTTCAATGCAGCATAAGCAAAAAAATGAAAACAACAGCATTACCTCCTTAAAAAAACGATAAAAATTTCTCCAGTGATCCATGTTTAGAGCCCTGTAGTCATTCTGGATCTGCCAATCAATTATTTCAACCATCAAAAAATAATTTAATGTATATGGCATTTAAAGTCTTTTGAACAACATCTTCCAACTAAGCAACAAAATTTGTTGAGATCCCACATCAACAATAAATATGACCAAAATAAAACTTATAAGGCTAAAACAACCCTCACCTTATGAACTAGTTTTTGGAGTTAAATTAGGACAAAGTTTAAACTTAAAATGGTAACAAAGCTTATTATAGCTTCAATATTAAGCCATCCTTGACTAAGAAAAAAAAAAAAAAAGGCACCATAAAGTTTAAATTTATCTGGTCTTGCAACCTTAGCAGTGCAATTTTAAAAAAATTGCATTTTCCACATCTCAGATACCCAATTTTGAGTGAGATAGTGTGTTGAGATCTCCTATTGACTGCAAATATGTCTAAAGTAGATCTTATAAAGGTTAAAACAATCATCATCTAATGAGCTAACTTTTGGAGTTGAGTTAGTTCAAAACGCAAAGGTAATATAACTTTAGAGTGCATCATACAAGGGTAATCATCATCACTTGATTTTGTATTATAGACCTTCCATGCAAAAATATTTCAAGGCTGTACAAAACTTTTAATTCATAAACAGCAAATGAAAAACAAAACTATCTATAAAAGAAACAACCATAATTTTAGGGCAGGACAATAACTAAATACAAGAAAATAACATATTGACATTCTTTAAAATCTAACAAGTTATAGCTTCAAATCATTGGAAGTCATTGTTATCACAAATCTTTACATTCAACCAAAAAGTTTAAGCACAAAGAGCTAAGGAAGCATAAGTTAACAACAGAATATTAAAACAAATTACTATAACTATAAACGCCTGCTCACCTTTAGATACTCAATTAGTAAATTGACTTGAGTAGGGAATTCAAGTTTCAGAACAACATTCAACAGCTCACAAATGGTATCAATATCTACACTCCTTTGCTTATCTTCTGAAAGTATTATCCAATGTTCAAGCAGTTCAACACAGAGATAAGCAAGAATAGGAAAGCCGCAATGCAAAACAACAAATCCAAATTATTATTGAAATCAAAACCCACCAATACTAATCTTACCTGTTAGGCAGTATTGAAATGCATAGGAATAAAAATCCTCAAAGCACTCTGGTACTGTCACCTAACCAAGACACAAAGGAAATAAATAGTGTGAAAAATCTTCTTGAAGGATATCGATAGTTAATGGTTAATCTCAATAAGAATGCAAGAAAATTTTGCTAAGTAATTTATAACAGAAAATAAAATACCTCTTTCTTAAGTCCGTTAATAGCCTTTCTTAATTTAGGGAGTGTGTCGGCTCCTAAACATTTGAGGCCTCTTCGCCACTCGTCCTATTTAGAGAGCAAAAAGAATTTATGATAGACATATCCAAAAGCTAAGTAATATTATGATGAGGAAATTTAAGCTCTCTCAACAAAAGATGCATGGATGGTGTATAACCAGTGTAAGAGTCCATTGCTTTCGCACGCACAAAAGATAGTGACAGGATTTTCATTATTTTAAAAATGAAAAACTATTTAACTATTTTTAGAATGACCCTCAAAGATGATCAAATAAGAAGGATATCTCAGTCCATGATTCAGCCAGTTATTGGTATAAAAGAAAGTTCTATGTACTGGATGGAATTTGGTATTACAGTAAACAGTATGAATATGAAGGATAGATCATACAAGTGCACAGCAAAGAACTCATAAGCTCAATAGGCACGGTCCCAAATCTTGAAGATTTGGATGTTATGATCATATGATGTTGTTGGAAATTCAATCCTCCACTTCCAATGTCCCCTCGGTCCAAATAAATAGAAGTATATAAAAGGTCAAAGAAAGACCAAAAGAAACATCAAAATACAAAATCATTCAAACTTCCAATCATACTTAAATATCTCCTAAAAATTTCCACTTGAAACACCAAAACCACTGTACAATGAAGCCAAATCTTGTCCCAAAGGAATTAAGCAGAAATGCAGAACTTAATTCTAAAAGATTATTTTTTCACATGCAATTCATACTTTCCACCAACTTTGAAAGGATGTTGCCTGCCTTCTTTAAGTATAGACCCCCTAAAGCAAATCAACTACTGCACCAATAATTGTGGACAAGCCGACTTCTGACATATATGGACATGAACCTCTAAGTTGGTAAAACTCAGACAGTATGAAAACCACTAACCACCACAATGATTTCTTTATTACCAATGCCTAAAATTTTATTTTTATTAGAGTCTTCTCAGTTCTCAGTATGAAAAATGATTCCCCATTAGGTGTCCTTCACAAAATCAATTTTATCAATTCCTTGAAGCTAGAATTTTTTATATGATGCATAGGCTAAAGGACATTAAGTGGCTACTTGCTACTGCATATAGCAGATCCATCTGTCCTTATCCACACCCCTCTCCTCTCATTTTTTAGTACTATTGTCAAGAGTACATGGTGATGTCATGAACTCAGTACAAAAAATGTTAATTGTAGAGCAACACTATTAAATCCTTTAGCTCTTCCTAAGTAAAGAAACCTACTCTAGATTGTACTGCAGATAAAATACGGATATAATACCAGTATAACAGCATGCTGGAAACTCACACGGTGTTTACTTATCTATTTCATTCATCTTGATTCCATTATGAGCCACTCACAAATTAAATAAATAAATCAGTTGTCTTTTAGTGAAAGGCTCTTTGTTTTTTCAACATGAGAGGTTGAACCTTTCTTCATTCTTGTGGGCTCACAAGATACATCAACTTAATAAAGAAAGGATAAACGTGAGTATATACAATGAAATATACTAATACAGTGTATATAGATATATGTCAATACATAAGTACTAAGCAGAGGGTTCTATGTCTGTGAGTGTGTCCACAGAATAAACAATGGGGAATTAATAAGGCATGAACGCTTGTGAATCTCAATATTTTCAGAACTGTATTGCTGAAAATAGATTGTAAAGCAGTAATTTTCTATACCAACCTTGGAAAAATAACCTTGCTTTTCAGCTTTCATTTTCCTGATAAGATAAGATCATACATTTATAAAGGTTAAAAGATCAGTTAGGTAGAGGCAAGGGAAAAGTTAATGCATTCCATTACGTACCAAGCAAGTATCAGCATTCTAACATCTGTATGCTCCACATTCACATCTTTACACAGTGCTTCAATCCCATCTGGGCTGACCAATCAAACAAAAGGTATAAAGAATTCCATCAAGAGTCACATAAACTTTAATGGGGATAGGGGCACAGAGCAAACTTCAAATATAAAGAAAAAATATTGGACCTCAACATGGACCCCTTTGCAGTTTTCTGAAGATTATGTGTCTAATTCATTAGCTAATTTCATTAAATAATTATTAGACCTGGACAGTTTCTTATTAGTATACCACTATAAACAAACACAAAAAATGGGACAAATAAAGGTGTTTTATGTAAGCACAAGCAAGTTCCAATTAAGCAATTCAATATAATTTAAGCACAATAAGTCCCCAATCCTAAACCAGATCAAACAACAACTGAAGAATGTTATGCACTAAAATTAGGGGAAGGGGCCAATGATTTCAACAAGTGCATACTTACTCAATCAAACCCATTGACTTATTTGCATATGATTCAAACAGGTTATCTATTCGATCGAATTGCTTTGTTGTTGATTTCTTTGGTTCTGAAATAATAACATGAAAGGAAATAACTACTATCAAGAACTCAATAAATTATGGTCAGCATTACAAGAAAAGAGTAAAGCAAGTAAAAACAAAAATCTACACAACAATATCAGAAGGCTTACAAAACAGTTATACATAATCTAGGTTCATGGTTCAGGACAATATACATTCTGAAACATTGAATCATATTTCCAGAGTTCTTTTTAATGTTGATACTCAATACTCTATAGAATCCGTAGTATTTTAATAATGGCCTCCATAAATAGATCAAACATTCTACAGGAAAGTATTAAGCTAAAACTGCTCTTAGATTATATTAGTTAGTAGCCACACACATTGAGGCTGTCTTGATAAATGGTACCATATTATTGTAGTAAGCTTAAGCTGCAAAGAAGAGTGCCAGATAACAGGCAAGCAGCCTTACTATATATTCTCCGGATTTTAAACCACAGTGATATGATTAGTATGAATATCGGGCAATCTCATGTCAGCACAGGTGTAGTGTGACTTTACAATTTCAGATTCTATATACTACCATGTAAGAAACATGCTACCGGCCAAAATTCTGTGCTTGCGGATATCTGTTACCAGAAAACAGAAGATACATACTAAAAAGGTCCAAGTTAAAATGCACACTGCAAATAATAAAGACCACGATTGGACATTCCTATAAAACCATTATCTGCGTCTATCACAATTCACATTACATTTTTATTAAAATATAATCACATCACATGTAAATGGTTCATAAATAGCAAAATAGTATCTTCTTCGGTCATCCATGGAAACAAACCCCAAAATAATATAGAATCCCAACACCAGCATCACCCTTTTCTCACTAATGAACTGTAAACAATGAAACTGAATAAAGGGTGTTTGAATCATATTACATAACACCAAAACCCTTTCTTTTCACGCTTTGAATTTTAAAAGCGTTTAATGTGCATATCCACGAAGTAAACAAACAGTTAGGCCTCCGACATCATGAAGAATAAATACAACCCATTTATATGGATTTAACCTCAATCAGTACAAAGATCGAGCAAGATCAAAATTCGCCAACTTCAGCACTTCATCACAGCAAAAAAATAATTAAAAAATTATAAATTAATTAAAGATGTGAATATTCATTGTTCTTTTACTGAATTTTTGGATTCGATTATCGCGGGCACCAATCGGGTGGGAGGAAACGATAAATGGAAGTACCAGTACGAAGAGAAGAATCAACATCAGAAGAAGTGATTGGTGGGGCCGCTTTTCTTTTGGGTCGAGGCATCTTCGCAAAATGTGAAATCAAATACTGTAAAAACTTTGAGAGACCGAATCTAAACGAATCGAATCGAAAGCCCTCCAAATTGTTATTGAAAGTAGAAACCCTATTCACAGAGAATGACCAAAATGAGCAACCATCACAGATTGAAGGTTTAACTGGGGTTTTATAGCTTTGGAAATGGTGCTGCTACCCCTTTATCTTTATTTTTCCTTTTCTTTTATATATATATATATATAAAGAAATATTATATTGAAATAGTTAAAATTCTCGCTGTAATAACCGTAAATTTAAAAAGTTATTCTATACTTTTTTAATCAACAAATATGACTCTTTTAATAATTTAAAGATAACAAAATATTAATATTTTTTAAATTAAATCACTAATTCTATTATTTATTTATATAGAATTAACGGTAAAAATTATTTCATGTATAAAAAAAAAATACCAAATCGTTTTAATTATACAAGATATTGTAGATTTTATAAAAAAAATAGTTAAAATTATTTAATATATATTGAATAGAAGAGTTTGAAAATATTAACTAACTTTGAATTAATATTCTTAATATATTTATTTGTGTCATTTATTTTATTATTACAATTTTTTATGAATTACATTGTATTATTTGAATTAAAATTTTATTATTTGATTAATATTTTAAATATTATTTTCATTGTTTTAACTGATTATTTTTATAAGAAATTGCACTGATATTTATTTATTTTTAATTTAATGTATTATTAATTATTATACATTTTATGATTAATCATGTCTTTGACAATACTTGAATTTAAAATATTTTATACATTTTTCAAACAATACAAAAATAAAATAAAAATTATGTTAGTTAGATGATAAATTATTTTAAATAAATTAAAAGTGCTTATTTTAATAAGTTATATTGAATAACTCATTAAATGATTATTTTTATACAAAAAATTATACAATATATTTGATCATATTTAATAAAAAAACTAAAAAAATTATTTTAATAGATATAATTTATTAAAATAAAATAAAAATTATTTTTATAAACTCTAGCAAATAAAATTTATATTATTTAATTTTTTTATGCTACTTGTTACTTTAAGTTTAAGTTAAATATACTAACATTATTATTTTATTGATCAAATTATATTAATAATAATAATAATTAATTTTTATAATTATAATATAAATATTATTCTCTGTTGTAATTAGTGTAACAAATTTAAAATCTTTTACTCGTTATATTTATTTGTTTCTTCTTATCATGTTTCAGTCTCTCTGTTAAACCAAAGAAAAGCAGCGGCAGCACACGGGTCATCCATGCATCCATTCTAACCTCCCAGTGTCTAAATCCACTCTTCCGCTTTGAATTCAATTTTGGGATAATCTGAAGATGTCATTCGTAAGGTCAAGGTATGTTCTCTCCCTCACCTTATAAAGTTTCCCCCTTTTCCTCTCTCTTGTTCTGCAAAGCTTCACACTCACTCTTGGCCCCCATCTATTCGCAAAATTGATGACGCTGTTGCCTTGTTCAATCGCATGCTCACCGTGAGTCCTTCTCCACCTATCATTCAATTTAACAATATTTTGGGGTCACTTGTTAAGACTAATAATTTCTACACTGTCCTTTCACTTTTTCAGTGCATTTGCATGACAAGGTAGTAAAACATGGAACAAGTTAGTTACGGAACGTTGTCACATGGCTTTTACATTTTGGGTCAACTAGATGAAGCACTTGATTTGGTCAATGAAATGAAATGAAATGGTATTGAAAAGCATCGACCCAGATGCTTATACCTGTAACATATTTTGGTTGATGCTAAAAATGTGTTGGCTGTGATAAAAGATGGCGTGAAACCTGATGGTACTTCTTTAATGGATGGTTATTGCTTAGTTAACCAAGTAAAGAAGGCCAGATATGTATTCAACAACATGATCCGAAATGGAGTACCCCTACACCGTAGTGGATTATGTAAGAATAAAAAAGTGGATGAAGCCACTACTCTTTTTAAAGAAATGCATTGCAAAAGTGTGTTCCAAATACAGTTTACAATTCTCTTGTTCGATGGTTTGTGCAAATCGCGAATAATTTAATTATCTGAGCTCTCTTTAAGGCAGAGAAACTTCTGCATGAGATGGTTGCTAGAGGTCGCTTGTAAGAGTAAGTATAGTTTAGACGCTTCCCAACTTCACGTTGTTTTGAATTTGAATAATGACCGGGGAAATTTATTTTTTTGTTAGTTTCACATGCCACGTGATGGCTCACTATCATATTACTTTAATTAAAAAGCATATGTTTATTCATATATTCTCAGGTTTTTAAAATAACAATGATATATTTGAGTCTTGACATAAATATCATTCTTCTATGCTGTATCTACTTGGAAGAATTTGTTCAATCACTGCTAAATTGTTAATGTTTCCGATAACTAATTATGATGAACCTAACAGGATTAGTTTCAATGCTGTATCTCCTGTAGTTGACTCCATTACCCATGATTGTATAGGAAGTATGAATATAACTTCTTCTTCTTTTTCTTATTTCTTATGATCTCTTTTTGAGAAAGGTAAATAGTTTAAAACATAAGCATTATCTGCCTGCAACATTCTTTTCAGCCTCGAGTGTCGCAACATTGGGATCATCATCTAGGTTTTTCAGGACTATGTTAGATTGAGTTACCCCTAAGGAATAAGTTGCCCTTGGGAGAAAATTAATAAGATATAACTATTTTGGACTTCGATTTTTTATGAGTTACTTTTATAGCATTATATTCATATTTACTCGTGATGTTTTATAAAATTAATATTATTTAATCAAGTTAAATGCGTACTTTTTTATAGTATTTGAGATTGAAATGATATTATTTTTAATAGTATAAATTTATAAACTTTTATTTTAAGCATGATTAGACTTTTGGCAGAGTAGTTAGAATAAATTTATTTTAAAATGGTATGTTTTAACATTTATGGTTGTGAAATACTCATGTAATATTTGTTTTTATTTTTTATTTATTGTGATTTTTTGTCCTTGTCGAGTCTGAGTGAATCTTCTGTTTATTTAATATTTCATCGTGTATTTTTGCTTTCTCATTTTTTTTGGCTACTTTATGAGTTGTGAATTTTCTATTATTTCAAAATTTTTTAATAATTATTTTCAGACTACTTATTTTTTTTTTCCATTTCTCAACATTATCTCAATTGTATTTTTTTTAATTGCATAAATGTTACAAGGGGTTCACAATTTTATTATGTGATCATTAAAATTGTAAAATTATACATGTTTATCAAGTTTAATATAATTTATTTATCATTAATATTTGAATAAAAAATTATTAATGTAATTATTTCACAATTCACACACTTCTATATCGTACAGGTAATATCTAAAGTAAAAATATTATCAAACAAATTAATTATTTTATAACATTATGATACTGATAACAAACGACAATTTTTTTGTTATAATTTTATTTTATATAAGGGTCAAAATGTATAAAATGTAAATTTGTTTGAGTGTAATTAGATTGGTTTGAGTTCAAGAAAAAATACCATACATGCAATATATTATAATTAATTAATAACATGCTTTTTTATATAATAATGCATCAAAATTAAAATTTAATTTTGTATCCTTAAATTTCAGTTTTATTCTATAAAAATACTCACTATTACTTTCCAAACTGAAAAAAGTTATATAAACTTTAGTCAAAATATTATTTACTGTTTATAAATTTTTAAAAAATTATTTTGTAGTAATTTAAAAAAGAGAAGGATTTTCTTATGCTAGCAGAAGTTTAAAAATTTTTATATTTGAACTTTTTATTTAACTTATATTTAAAAGTAAGTGAAGTAATAAATTATAACTTATTAAATATAAGTTAAATGAAACGTTAAGATTGAATGTAAAAAAAATCCTATCTCATTTAAAAATATACGTTTAAAGAAAATTTTATGTAAACACTCTTTTATAAATTATGTAATCTGCTTATTAAGAAAAAGTAAGCAATAATAAAATACAAAAATAACATTTTTACTTTTTTATGCGTTGTATACTAAGACGAGTTTGATAAATTTATTATTAAAGATTTTTTGCATAATTTTAAGATATATTTAACAATAAGTTTGATTATTATTATTATTATTATTATTTTCAAATTTGAAATATATATATTTTAAAATTTTACTCTTTTTTAACAGTATACTTTTACTATTTTAAGTTTCGTCATTTTTTTATTATCACTTTATTTCAAGCATATTTTGAGTATTACTAATGTATTGTCTAAAGACTTTCATAATTTTAAATATTTTATAAAATTAAGTTTATCATAAGAAAATAACATTGAATTTCTTTCAAATAATTAATTTATACAATTGTCTATGAATTTAAAAATAAAATTTAAATTAAAAATTTACACTTTCAAAAATCAATTTATAAAATTATTAATTATTTTTAAAAATTAATTTATAAAAATATTAATCATTTTTAAAATAAAATTTTTAAATTAGAATCCTACATCTCAGAAAAATAATTTTAAAATTAAATTTTTACACATTAAAAAATTAATTTATGAAATTATTAACCATTTCAATAAATAAATATTTGAAATAATATTGTACACGTATGATATTAAATTTTTTAAGTTAAAATTTTTCACTTTTATAAACTAATTCATGGAATTATTAGATATTTTAATGTTTTGTAAATTAAGATTTTACAATTTCATAGAATTAATTTATTAAAATAATTGTTGTACACTTCTAAAAAAATATTTATTATATTATTACTTCTTTTTAAAAATAAATTTACACAATTAAAATTCTATTTTTAAAAATAAAATTTCAGATTTAAAATTTTACACTTTTAAAAATGATTTATGAAAATTTAAAATTTACGTAAATGATATTTTCGAAGAAAAAAACTAGAAAAAATTGTACACTATTAAAAAATTAAGAAAATTTAAAATTTAAAATTTTGACTGAAATTTTTTTAATTTAAGTGTGAAAAAAAAAAAAAGGCGTCCCTAAAAATAATCTGGATGATTGTAAGATGTTAACTGGCTAACGGGCCTCATATAGCCCATAAGTAGTAAAGTACAGAACCCGGTCCAATCCATACGACTGTGCGTGATTCTGTAAAATACTCAAACCTAGGGTTTCTCTTCATTTCGAAAGAGTTGCTGCGGCTTGTGTTGTGTGGAATCGTCGACAGAGAAAATGGTAAGAAAAAAAAAAAAATTTCCACGGTTGCTTATGTTTGCAGAAACTTATTAGTTTTTCGACTGTGACATGACACTATTGATTTGATGCGTAGCCATCCCACAAGACGTTCAGGATCAAGAAGAAGCTTGCCAAGAAGATGAGGCAGAACAGGCCCATCCCTTACTGGATTCGTATGAGGACCGACAACACCATCAGGTTAGGATCCTACAAATTCCTCCGAATTTCTTATTGTTGTGTGTTGATTATTCATTCACACCATCCAATTATTGTTTTGTATGTGTGTTTAGGTATAATGCTAAGCGTAGGCACTGGCGCCGCACCAAACTCGGATTTTGAGGTGGATGTAATACGCGAGATGGAAACATTGTAACTTTAGAATGTTTTTCCCGTCCTTTCTTTCTCATTTCACAGTAATTTTTTTATGTTTTTTTTTCTATTTATGTGAAACTATTATGGAGGTTTTAATTTGTTGCCGTGCCTTTTCCCTAATGATTTTAAATTTTGATTGGTGTTGTTTTCTGGCGACCTTATTCCACGTTGATTATAGCAAAATCCTCAGTAACATGTTAGGTAACCTCTGTTTTTTTAAAAGGAAATGATACCTTATTTTTGAAAAGAAAGAAAGATTGATAAAAAAAATAAGGTTGTATTTCTTTGAAACAAGGCAAACCAAACATATACAGATATTCTAGTTCTACGTGTTTGTGGGATGTAGGGTTTAAGGCATTAAGCATAGAGCCCACAATGGAGTTATTGGAGCTGTTGTAGATCAATCTTCATGACCCTAGACTGTAATACCTTAATCATAGGCAAAATGTTTTGGATTAATTAGTTTGGCACTGTCTCACTTTAGGAAATTTGTTTAAAGGAAAGTGAGATCTTGAGCGGTCTTTGAAGTGAGGATGGGATTGTGTATGCCATTTGTGAACTTCAAGAGGAATGTGATTCTCGGGGTTCTGTCATCTTGAATAAGCAGGTATATGGAGTATAGGAAGTTGGGTAAGTTGTCTACTGAGATTAATGCACACAACAATTTGCTTGCAAAACACTAAACTCTAAACTCAGTCTCGACCTGCGAGAGGTTGATTTGTATTTGGAAGAGATTCTCTCCCTTTCACCTCCCATCTCCAACATGTTGCTAGTGATTTCAATTTCAACTCTCTTCTTTCGCATCTCGAATGTCATGCCTGCGTATCTGTGAGTGACCAACCAGAACTCTCCCTTCATGGGCGTAAAATTTGCTAAATCGAATCCTAACGTGCTTCTCATCATTTTTATAAGATTGGCTTAAGAAAGATGGACTGAATGTTCCATATCCCGCCATATCGGGATCCTAGTTTTACGTTTAACTTATTTTAGGGCAGATTTTGCCAAAGGATGATGTTAATCAGTGATTTAACAGTGTTGATTAAAGAAACAATAAATAATAATTTGTTACTAAAATTTAAATTATAAGTATTAAAAAAATTTTGGAGAGCATTGTGATATTTTCTATATATTTCTCTAATTTTTTTTAACGAGTGTTCTTAGTATTTTCCTATGCGAAAATTAATAAATCTTGCATCATAAATTCTAGCCTGCCGCATGGCTTTGCAGTCCGGCGCCGATAAGAAAATTGGCTGTGGTTAAGCATGGTGTCTAAATTTTCGATGCCCTTTGGTGTATTACAGCAAGTAAATAATTTTGAGTGTATGGTACTATTTTCTTGCGTTGGTATATATGAAGGCGTGAAATGAAATATGTCGAACTATTATTTTTCCTCTCGGTTGGACGTGTCAATTTTTGTGCGTAGGCATATTTTTATCAATCATATTTAAAAGAACAATATTTGCATGATTTTTTTTATTTAATAAATAGATTTTGAAAATCATTCTTCTATAGAAAGGTTGTAATTTTGATATCCTAGTGCCAATCTTTTTGGGTAAAAATATACAAATATTCATTCACTTGTCTCCAATATTTTCACCTTGGATTAGCAAAAAATAAAAAAAAAATTCACTTTGGATCCTTACCAGCAATATTTGGTGCAGTTAATATTCTGCAAAAATGTCAACATACGATTTTGCACAAAATTAAAAGAAGAGGATATAATAAGCGGTACCTGTCTCCAATATTTTACAGTCAACCATGCACGGTCAATTGCTGAAAATTTCCTATCCTTTCTACTTTTGTGCGCGAACATTTTTTATCAATTGTACGTAAAAGCTTTATATTGAAATAAATCTTAATATATAATTACATTTTAAATATATTTATTTTTTGAAAAATGGTTTTAGGAATTGATAATTCCATAGAAAGTGACTCATAAAGTTGTACTGTTGGTACATGTGTTCAGGAAATGTTTTTGGAACAGCAAAAGTGGATAACAAAATGTTGTTTCTTTAATTTCGTTTTTTCTGAACAGCAAAAGTCGACCTTATCCTCATTTTCTACCTTTTAATTATAGTTTTTTTCACTAACATTTGATATACACACGGCAAGTCGTTTTCAATTATATTTTTGCAATTTAAATTTGTAGGTCCAATTAACCGGTATATTAATACATTAGTTAAAGAATTAAAAAATATTTTTTAAAATAAACAATTACACTTGGACTGCATTAAAATTACCAGAAAAATGCATTGCCACATTTTTAATAAAAAAATTACTTTTAATTCTTAATAAGTGTCCTTGTAAGATTGATTAGTATTTGCCTAACTTTATAATGATATATTATTTATTTATATGTTGTCTAAGACAGTTGCTATAAAATGAAATTATACAAGTGTTCTTTATATATGCATTTGGTTTTTCCTTCAAAATCACAACATCTTAAACTCCTTGAGGGATTGAACGAAATTATGTTTCATTCTTTCAATTTCAATCATTCAATGTTTTGTGAAATTATGAAAATATTTAACTCCCTGCGTGAAATTATGAAAGGGACCAACATCTATTTAATTTTAGTGTTAAATTGTTCATGTGGACTGTCATGGTAGATATGGTTGAAGAATTCAAAGAAATGAATAGAATAATAGAATTTGACTTGCTAAGATGAGGAGAAACACAAGCTAAAAAGGACCATTGAGAATGGTCACTAAGCAAATTACTTAAACATATCAGGCCCATACATCAATCACCTCTACCTAGAATCACATGCTATCATTGTTATCGTTATTATCTTATATGAATTTTTATGAAGCACCAGGTACAAATTGGAACATTAAGAACTACGATTGTCGTGGCCAAACACAATTGTAAAATAAAAAAGTGTTGTTATAATTCAAATTGAAAATTTAGTGACTTGATTCATTCACTCTACTGGATGTCCTAAAAGAGAAACGCAAATTGCTTGTCATTCTAAAATATCGTTATTATTTTCGAGTTTTATAATGCAAAGCAAAAGTTAATTAAACCTCATTCAAAATTATCACACACCATTAATCTTATATATTTAAAAATGTAACAAAGACTTTCGCCTTAGATCTATTGCATGTGCACTTATTATTACAAATTTAATTAAAGATGTGCCATTTTTTTGTTTATTTCATTAAAAATATTGTTGTTAGTATTTTTGTGAAAAGTATTGTTGTTAGTATTTTTGTCAAATCTTTAACAGATCATCTACAAGACTTTCATAACTTCATACAAAGTATTTACAATTATCATAAAACACACACACACACACATGAAAACAAATATTATAGTAAAACTTCCATTAAAACTTTAATTTAAAGTTAAACTAAACATTAAATACAATCAAAACTTTAAAATGTTTTTAACTTAATTTATTAAATGTCAAAAATTTGAGTAAAAATTAATACTCGATTTTATTATTTGTTAACTCTTTAATAATAATTTAGTACTGATATCTTAAAATAAATATGGAGATTAAATTAAAATATTATTTTTTTCATAAATAATTGTAAATATTTTAATTTATGAGAAATTATATTAAAAATAATGTAAATGTTGTTTTCGTTGAAATATATTTGTGTATATTTCATTTCTCTTTCTCTACAGTTGTTCTATAAAACATCGTAAGTACATTTATCTTTATAAAGAATATATCTTTCATTTTTTTTTCTATTATCCGGAATAATGTATATAATAGTGTCTTTTTTAAATCTTCTAGAAAAAAATCTTAAAATTATAATTGGTATACAACTTAAGTTTCCTCCCAACCCAAGTGGCTGGTACAAGGGAATGGTTATGTTTATTATACAACCTGCAACCTGGTGAAATCATAATTGCGATTTCCATTTCCAATAGAACCCCAATAAATTTAATGGCTCGTAATCGGTTTCATGAATTCTGGATTTAATAAACCTACCGAATCCATGCTAACAACAAATTAAAGACTATATATTTTAAAATTGTTTAAGAAATATCACTCAAACTTCTAGCCTATTCACTCTTAAATCAGGTTATTATTCTAAAAATCTTAATATGATCCAAAAACAGAATTAAAACGCTTAAATAAAAAAAAAGAAGGTAAAGTCAAAAAAATAATGGGTAAGACATTTTAGATAAAAAGAGCACTCAAACTTAAGTCCATTCACTTTATTAGATGTGATTCATCATATACTAAAAATCCTAAGTTTTAATAAAATATCAAAGTTCAATTAAAAAAAAAAAAGGAACTATGACATTAACAAAAAAAATCCAACAAATTAGTTGACATATTTCTTTTACTGTCAAAAAGTAGTTGATAATCCTATATATATTACAAATACAACGAAGAAAATTGAGTGGACAGTTTGCAAACGAAATATGCATCTGACATGCAACCCCTGGGAGTTTGGGTGGCCACAAAAGCCATGTAACAAACACTCCCAAGGAAAAGGAACTAAACGAGGAAGTTAGTGGTTGACAATAATAGCATTGTGCATGTACCTTGCGTTACGTACGTATCTTGTCTCCAAGTTTTACTATAAAAACGTGAGAAAACAAGGCCTTCACTAACTGTCACTTTCTTGTTCCAATATCTCTACTTCATTTTCATCTTGATCCTTCATCTTTCTACCCTTCCAGGCCACTTATGGTTGAAGGGGCCTAGGAGGGGGCTCGCGGAGCTTATCGAAAGAAAAGAGATTTTTTTTTTTTAATTCTAAAACATTAGGAACTAGAAAGGAGACACGTTCATCTTTCACACTATGGCCTCTGACATATCATTTGACGACCTAAAGAATGAGAATGTTGATCTTGTAAGAAAAAAAAAATAGAAACTCATAGTGATCATGCTTTTTTTTTTTTTTCTTTTTGTATTATGAACTTTGTTATTAGCATGGATGTATATGTGACAAGTTGTTACATTGTATGACTATGTGTAGGAAAACATTCCTATTGAGGAAGTTTTTAAGCAGC